ATAAATAGGTTTGAACCTTTCTGACAATACCACCCGTGTCAAGATGTTCAAACACCAAATAGAAACATTTCGCAAGGAATCGAGTGGTCTGCGTTAAGCACACACAGAGTGCTTGTGGCGTCATCCAGTGTTTGGTGTTTGAACGTCTTAACCCAGCTCATGTTTCATTGCAGTAAAGGACAAACGCCTATTATTGTTTTCATTATTTTATATTTTTTTATACTTTGATCCTGGCAAAACAAGGTAAGATGATGATGATGATGATGACGAATATGTATAATGACAATGTCTTTATGATGTTGATTGTGGGCGATTAGAGTGCATTGATAATGGTGGATCATGGAAATGTATTTACGATAATGATGCCGGATGATCAGAAGTGTTGTTGATGATCATGATGATGATGGATATTGGCAATGCATTGATGATGATGATGATGATCAAAATCATTGATCTCTCCTCTTATCTCTCGTGATGATAATCACGGATAATAACAATGTATTGCTGATGAATAATTGCAATATATTGATGATGAGGAATATTGACAATGTATTGATAACGGTGTTGATGATAATGACTGTATTGATTGTGATAGGCGATTATGATGTGTACATAATTATGGATAATGACAATGCCTTAATAATGATAAGTACAATTGTGGGTGCTATGGAATTATGATTATATTATTATACCGATGACGGAGCTACATCGGATGATGATGAAAATGATGGTGACGTCATCGATAAACAACGACAACGATGACGTCAAACGATGACAGTGCGGGAGGTCACCCCCCCCCCCGCTACTCCCCCCGCGCCCCGCCCCTCCCCCCCCAGCACCCCGCCCCTCCCCCCCCGCACCCCCCCCGCACCCCGCCCCCATCACATCGCCCTCCAAACCGCAGTGCATCATCAGCCGTGGACCTCCTCTCAGTGATGAATGACGCGTGGGGGTGGTGAGACGGGCGGACAGGGTTACTCCCCACCCTGCGATTAATGATCACCGCTGTGACACGGGGTGGGTGGGGGTGGGTGGGGGGGTGGGGGGGTGGGTGGGGGGGTGGGTGGGTGGGGGGGTGGGGGTGGGGGGAGATAGCCCAGGGGGGGGTAAGAGATGGGGATTTGGAGGGTGGGGGGGTGGGGGGTGAGAGTTGAGCCCCCACGGCATGATGAATGATCCATCTCCCTGGTGCTGGCTGTGGGCTCCCAGACGCCACGGATCGCAGTCGGTGGTGAAAATCACTCGCTCGTTACTCCTACTTGTGTTGGGACACGGGGAGAGAGAGGAGGGGTGGGAGAGAGAGAGACGAGGGAGAGTGATGGGGGAGATGGGTGTGAGTGTGTGTGAGTGAGCGGGAGAGGGGGGTGGGGGAGAGAGAGTTACATAAAGCAAAGCATTTAATAAAACATAAGAAAAATAAAAATAAAAAAATAAAAATAAAAAAATAAAAATGATGAACGAAGCAAAGTGCCGACTACACCGAGCATCCTCTTGTTTCCACTGATCGTAAAAAAAGAGAGAGATGAGGGAGAGTGATGGGGGAGAGGGGTGTGTGTGAGTGTGTGAGTGAGTGAGCGGCAGAGAGGTGGCGTGGAGAGAGAGAGAGATGGGAGGATGTAGAGGGACGGGACAGACAGGGGAGAGTACGGGTGGTGGGGGAGATGGGACAGAGAGAGAGATGGTAGGGAGAGAGGGAGAAAGAGGTTAGAGAAGGGAGAGAAAAGAGAGAGATGGGAGCAAGAGGTGACATGGCGAGAGGGGAGACAGACATGGGGAGAGAGAGAGAGTGGAGAGGGTAGAAATGAGGAGGGAGAGAAATGGGACAGAGGGAGAGAGCGGGCGAATTCCCTCTTTGCATCTCTCAATGTCAGCCTCCCACGATTTCTCTCCACGTCTTTCCGTGTCCCCACCATTCGCTCTCCGCTGCTCACTGCTCATCTCTCTAAAAATGAGTGTGTAAAACATCGCCACCGGGGAGACAAAGGCGACCGGGTCGTGATTGCTGGCCACCCACCCCCTCGTGTGCCTCCGCGTGTGTGAGACTGAGTGAGTGGAGTGTGTTTGCCCCCCGTTCTGCATGGGTTTCTCTCCGCTTTCCTCCCGTAGGCCAATGGACATCCATAATTATCACCGGTATCGGGCAAAGCATCCCCAATGCTGATCGATGAGCCACCGACGACTCAATTAGGATCAGGCAGCAGCATCAGCGGGCAGCAGCATCAGCGGGCAGCATCAGCATCATCAGTAGCAGCAGCATCAGCAGCAGCATCATCAGTAGCAGCAGCATCAGTAGCAGCAGCATCAGTAGCAGCAGCGGGCAGCAGCAGCAGCAGCGGGCAGCAGCAGCATCAGCAGCAGCGGGCGGCAGCAGCATCAGCATCAGCAGCAGCGGGCAGCAGCAGCAGCAGCGGGCAGCAGCAGCGGGCAGCAGCAGCATCAGCAGCAGCAGCAGCGGGCAGCAGCAGCAGCGGGCAGCAGCAGCAGCGGGCAGCAGCAGCAGCAGCGGGCAGCAGCGGGCAGCAGCAACAGCAGCAGCAACAGCAGTAGCAGCAGCAGGCAGCAGCAGCAGCAGCAGCGGGCAGCAGCAGCGGGCAGCAGCAGCAGCGGGCAGCGGCAGCAGCATCATCAGTAGCAGCAGCGGGCAGCAGCAGCAGCGGGCAGCAGCAGCAGCGGGCAGCAGCAGCAGCAGCAACAGCAGCAGCGGGCAGCAGCAGCAGCGGGCAGCAGCAGCAGCAGCAACAGCAACATCAGCGGGCAGCAGCAGCAGCGGGCAGCAGCAACAGCAGCAGCAGCGGGCAGCAGCAACAGCAGCAACAGCAGCAGCAGCGGGCAGCAGCGGCAGCAGCGGGCAGCAGCAGCGGGCAGCAGCAGCATCAGCAGCGGGCAGCAGCAGAAAAATGTCAGCTCGATTGGATCACGGGAAGTGGGTTAAAAAACGACCGAAAGATTTGCACGGTCGTAAGCAAGCAAGCAAGCACGCAAGCAAGTGAACTTAATATAAGTATAACCCGTAAAAACAAAGTTTTTCACTATAAATCCTTTATATGCGTGGCGGCTAGAGTCCTCTCGTCCTCTGGCTTGAGATGGCTGCCACCTATGGGTCAGATGATTGTCTGCCAGTATTAAACAATTGGTAATTAAATATTTAATTTGTTTTCCCTAAACAGTGTAAAATTTTGGAGAAAAAAAATTCACGAACATTAATTATCACGCACAACGAGTCTGTGTGCAAAATGTCAGCTCGATTGGATCACGGGAAGTGGGTTAAAAAACGACCGAAAGATTTGCACGGTCGTAAGCAAGCAAGCGAGCACGCAAGCAAGTGAACTTAATATAAAGGATTTAATAAAGGAGTCACGTTGACAAAAGACAATTTAGTTCACTGCTTTAGCCCACCGGTGTGTTGAAGCGTGAAACCACAACAATTTACAATTTGAGTACGACGTTTCCTGCTGCTGCTGCTGCTCTATATAAGCAGCAGGGTGACGTCATCATTAATTAATCATTAATTAATGATGACGTCACCCTGCTGCTGCTCTATATATGAACGGGAGACACAGCAGAGCCTCACCATTCTGGCGAATTGCCCGATGATGCTGGATGCAATTACCAGCGAAACGTCGTACTACTCAAATTGTAAATGTTGTGGTTTCACACTTCAACACACCGGTGGGCTAAAGCGGTGAACTAAATTGTCTTTTGTCAACGTGACACTTTTTTACTGATTGGCCGTGTCGGGTGGTGGAGGGTTACGACACATTTATAAATAACGCGATCTAAACCCAAAAAAACGTTGATTATGAATAATATTGGTCGCGAAAGCCTGCTACGTGTTAAACTTAATATAAAGGATTTTTAAAAAAAGGTCCCGTGGAAAAATAAAAAAACACATATATATAATTATAACAATAATAACCAATCGTTCATTGACATCCCCGTCGCGAGGGGCAGGGTCCTTCTCGAAACGACTCGTAATATCCCCTGCGAGTCACCCAGTCACCGGTTCAACGTCTCTCCCATCGCAGATGATCGTCACCGCGTTCGACTCATCTCCGTCCGACCCATCAACCCCCTTTACCCTCCCCTCCGCCCGCTCCAAACCACCCCCTCGTTAATTCGTTTTGGTTAACAGAGCGTAGCATAAACTCTAGATTTGAAGCTTTCGTGACTGCAAGGATTCATATTCTTAGGTGTTTTCGGTAAAGTCCCGTAGGTAAAACATTAAAATTAATAAAAGTAAAATAAAATAAAAATCACGACGTTTCGGAGGCAACACAAGTCTCGGTCCCACCTGATGACGGAGACTTGTGTTGCCTCCGAAACGTCGTGATTTTTATTTTATTTTACTTTTATTAATTTTAATGTTTTACCTACCTGGTGACTTCACCGAAAACACCTAAGAATACGCAGCATAAACTCTTCAGGGAGGAGGGAGGTCATGGTGCCGATCGAGAGAGGGAGGGGGAGATTGGTGAAGTATGGTGACGACGAGAGCGTGGCGACTGGGAGATGGAGGCCATCAAAGTCTCTGTCTCTGAACGTCTCTCAACGTCCATCAACGTCCATCAACGTCTCTGTCTCTGAACGTCCATCAACGTCCATCAACGTCCATCAACGTCCATCAACGTCTCTGTCTCTGAACGTCCATCAACGTCCATCAACGTCCATCAACGTCCATCAAAGTCTCTGTCTCTGAACGTCCATCAACGTCCATCAACGTCCATCAACGTCCATCAACGTCTCTGTCTCTGAACGTCCATCAACGTCCATCAACGTCCATCAACCTCTCTCAACGTCCATCAACGTCTCTGTCTCTCAACGTCAATCAACGTCCATCAACGTCCATCAACGTCTCTCAACGTCTCTCAACGTCCATCAACGTCCATCAACGTCTCTCAACGTCCATCAACGTCTCTCAACGTCCATCAACGTCCATCAACGTCTCTCAACGTCCATCAACGTCCATCAACGTCTCTGTCTCTGAACGCCTCTAAACGCGACGCCCGCGTCTCGCTGGCATCGCGACCGAAGGCTCCGTCTCCCCCCATCGCACACAGGAGCTGACGAGGCACCCCCCCCCTCCCCACAATTAATTATGCTAATTACCCTAACTTAATTACTCTGCTGTCACAAGCTGGAGCGCAAGCCTCGCTGCTCTCCTCCCTGGGCTGGGAATTTGGATCGTGGTGGTGGTGGTGGGGTGAGGATGGGCGATTGGGATACCTGGTTAGTGCGTGCGTGTGTCTGTGTGGGTGTTTGTGTGCGTGTGTCTGTGTGTGTGTGTTTGTGTGTCTGTGTGGGGAGCGGTAGTATAGCGGTTAGCGCGTTGCGCTATGAACCTGGCGACCCGGGTTCGATTCCCGTTCACGGCCAACACCGGTGACGATTATCCGAATCGGTCCTGGGCCTCCCCTAGGTCGACTCAGCCTGAAATGAGTACCTGGTGCGGTGTAAACATCGCCGCTGGGGAGACAAAGGCGGTCGGGCGTGGTGCTGGCCACCCACCCCCTCGTGTACCGTTCCGGCCTTTATAGGTGCTCGCTAACAGCACTTGCCCCTACAGTCTGTTAAGGCTATACGGGGGATCTTTGTGTGTGTGTGTGTGTCTGTGTGCGGGGAAGGAGCGGTAGTGTAGCGGTCAGCGCTACACTGCGCTATGAACCCGGCAACCCGAGTTCGATTCCCGCTCACGGCCAACGCCAGTGACGATTATCTGAACCGGTCCTGGGCCTCTCCTAGGTCGACTCAGCATCAAATGAGTACCTGGTGCGGTCTGTAAACATCGCCACTGGGGAGACAAAGGCGGTCGGGCGTGGTGCTGGCCACCCACCCCCTCGTGTGCCGTGCCGGCCTTCATAGGTGCTCGCTAACAGCACTTGCCCCAACAGCCTGTTAAGGCTGTACGGGGGATCTTTGTCTCAGGCTAGCAGCTGCAGGAGGCACAGTCCCGAAACGTCACAGACACCGCCGTGGCTGATCGAGGACGAGGTGGTCAGGCATCGACGATGAGAAAGCGGCCAGCAGGCCAGTGACGTCACCACAGCGTCTGTGCCAGGCTAGGTGCATTGTGAGACCTCGTGAAGTGACAGGTCAGACCCAGGTGCCATGCGTTGACTGATTTTTATTTTTATTTTATTTTACTTTTATTAATTTTAATTTTTTACCAACGTGACTTTACCGAAAAAAACCTAAGAATATGAATCATTGCAGTCACGAAAGCTTCAAAGCTAGAATGCCCAGTAGCGTCCTTCACGAGCCTCCTACACAGACGCCGATCTTGACACCGCTGGTGCCAGGATCGGCAAGTCCACTCAACTCCACGTCCTCCTGTACCACATCACTCCATCTCTTCTCCAGCCCGTGTCTCGTCCGTTCAGCCCCCTCTACCCAGCCAAACAGAAGCTGTTTAGGCATGCGGTGGCTGGGCATGCGGGCTACGTGACCCAGCCAACGCAGCCTCGCCTGCCGGAGGAGCTCACTGATGGGAATGTGTCCAGATCTTTCAAGGATTTGTGAGCTCTTCACACAATCCAGCCTCTAGGTTAAACCCATGATGGATCGTAGACACGCCACATCGCATATGCTCCATGAGAGGGGTCCACGTTTCGCAAGCGTTCAGAAGGGAGGGCACGACTGTGGCTTAGAAGACCCGAAGCTTCGTGTGGAGCGACAGGCCACGTAGCTTCCACAAAGCAGCGTTACACAGCCGATGAAAAGATCCTGCCGCTCGAGCGAGTTCACTGACACACTCTCACAACACAGTCTGCAGAACAGGGGGCAGAACGCACCAACTGCACACATTGAAAGAGCGCCCGAGTCGGGAATCGAACCCAGGCTCCTGCTCGCTGTGGTGCACGAGCGTCACCAACTGCTGCCACCATGCCGCCCGATTTGAGTATCCGATGTTTTTATGCAGTCGATATTCTAATTGCTGAGTGAATAGCCGAGACGATTATTGAATCGTGGCGTACACGTGCCAGGTTATGGCAGAGCGCCCGCAATAGTGTGTGAATATTTGTCTTTGTGTGTTATGAAGGTCGACTCAGCCTCGAACGAGTACTTTGTGCAGTGCGTAAAAACATCGCCACTAGGGAGACAAAGGCCGCCGGGCGTGGTGCTGGCCACCCACCCCCTCGCGTGCCGTGCCGGTAGCCTTCATAGGCGCACGCTAACAGCACTTGCCCCGACAGTCTGCTCGGGCTATACGGGGGATCTTTGTCTTTGTTTTGTGTTATGAAGAAGGGTCATTACCCGAAACGTCGCAAACATTATCATTATTATTTGTTTATCTGTCAGCGGTCGGGAACCTATGGCTCGCGAGCCATATATGGCTCTTCCGGTGACGGCATATGGCTCCCAGACAATTTTGAGTTGAAAAAAATAAAATAAAAAATCAGTTTGGAACTGATTTTAAAATACTTGTGATATTGCTTAATAATACCGTGTCATTTTAAAGTGAACAGAAATTAGTTTTGAAGATACATTTCACGGGTCACGGGGCCTCAACGCCTGCATGAAGCTCAACCTCACCACGTCGTATGAACCAGACTACAAGGCCATCAGCAAAACCATGCAGCACCAGAAGTCGCATTAAAACTAAGACATTTAATTTATTATACGTTAAAAATACTATAAGGCTCTCAATGCAATATATTTAGAAATATTTGGCTTTTATGGCTCTCCCAGTCAAAAAGGTCCCCGACCCCTGCTCTATGTTAAGGCCGCATTGTTATCATTTCTGAGTTCAAATCGCTAATTCCGCCCTGCGTTCCATTCGGTGCGGTGTGTCCCGCTTGACGACGGTCCCGGTCTGCCCTCTGCTGTTGAATTGGTGCCATTGACAGCTCATGCCATGGCCCAGGCAAAATGTCCCCGTGGTACGTTGAGAAAGAATTGTCACTGCCGGTAATATTCTCATTGACAAGGCTATTAATTCTAGATTTTAAGCTTTCGTGACTGCAATGATTTATACTTTTTGTTTTTTTTTACGGTAAAGTCACGTAGGTAAAAAAAAAATCTAATAAAATAAATGAAAACAACTAAATGAAATTAAATGACGACGTTTCGGGCACAACACAAGCGTCCTTCTTCAGGTGGGGACAACGTAGCGAAGGCACAACCGCTTAAGTGTGTCTAAGAGATGGCTGTGGCGAGGAATTATATAGTCGTGGAGGATGAAGGGAGGGGCCCCCTGCATCACGAAGCTTCAGTTTGAACTCAATGCGGTTGTGCTTTCGCTACGCTGTCCCCACCTGAAGAAGGACGCTAGTGTTGCGCCCGAAACGTCGTGATTTAATTTAGTTGTTTTCATTTATTTTATTTTTTACCTACGTGACTTTACCGAAAAAACCAAAGAGGACAAAGCTATTGTTGTCCACAGATCTACTCTCTATTTGTCTGACCTGTTGTTGTTGTCGTCGTCGTTGTTACCGTTGGACGAGCCTCAAAATCTCCGACGAGTATCTGGTTGATAATTGTTTTTTTACCCTTTTATGTGGCAACAAAACTGACACCTTTTTTTAAAATCCTTTATATTAAGTTCGCGTGCGTGCTTGCTTGCTTAGGACCGTGCAAATCTTTCGGTCGTTTTTTAACCCACTTCCCGTGATCCAATCGAGCTGACATTTTCCACACAGACTCGTTGTGCCAGACAATTATTGTTCGTGAAAAAAATTCCCAAAATTGTACACTTTTTAGGCAAAAAAAAATATTTTACATATATTCAAATAGAACGCATTCATGTCTTTGGCTGAACGTCAGAGTGTAAGAGCCCAGAGCGTAACCCCTCCACAGGCCGTGGCGGAGTAGCGCAGTTGGTAGCGCCCTCGCTTCCCATGCCAAAGGTCGCGGGATCGATCCCCGCGTCCTCCACAGGCGAATATATTTTTAAATCCTTTATATTAAGTTCGCCGCCACGCATATAAAGGATTTATAGTGAAAAACTTTGTTTTTACGGGTTAATTTTTTTACCCTTGTATCTGGCAACAAAACCGACCGCAGGTATTGTGGTCAATGCAAACATGACTCCTTGTAACAAGTAAACCCGTAAAAACAAAGTTTTTCACTATAAATCCTTTATATGCGTGGCATCGGGGCGGCTAGAGTCCTCTCGTCCTCTGGCTTGAGATGGCTGCCACCTATGGGTCAGATGATTGTCTGCCAGTATTAAGCAATTGGTAATTAAATATTTAATTGTTTTCCCTAAACAGTGTAAAATTTTGGAAAAAAAATTTTCACGAACATTAGTTGTCTCGCACAACGAGTCTGTGTGCAAAATGTCAGCTCGATTGGATCACGGGAAGTGGGTTAAAAAACGACCGAAAGATTTGCACGGTCGTAAGCAAGCAAGCAAGCACGCAAGCACGCGAACTTAATATAAAGGATTTAAAAAACAATTATCATATTTTGCTACTGGAAAAGGAGGTTCCAATGGTGTAAATGCTTACCCCGAGCTCTCATACTCTGATGGTGCATTGTCTTTGAGTTGTGCGCCTTTTGGCGTCATCTGGTCCAACACCATGTGAGACTAGGCTCTAAGAAAAGCTGTCTCGGGTGTGGACCAATCAATTTCAAGGACAGTGCATACATTATCAGAGTTGTGTTTTTTGTTTGCATTCCGACCGCAGGTATTGTGGTCAATGCAAACATGACTCCTTGTAAAAAAAGGTGTCAGTTTTGTTGCCAGATAAAAGGGTTTAAAGCCAATTATCACGTCACATAATCTGTTTGGCTTTACACCTTGGTCCTGGTGACGTCATTATTGTAAATACTGTACTGTAGAGTCATAGCTGTGACGTCATAACTATAACATCGCTGAAATTGCCATTTGACCCCGACCTTTCCCATGATTTCATCATTGTTGTAAATACTGTTACAAATGGTGTACATTCTAGATTTGAAATTTTCGTGACTGCAAGGATTCATACTCTTTGGTTTTTTCGGTAAAGTCACGTAGGTAAAACATTTAATAAATTAAATAAAATGAAAAATTTAAATAAATCAAATTACGACGTTTCGGGCGCAACACCACCCGAAGAAGGACGCTTGTGTTGCGCCAGAAACGTCGTGGATTTGATTTAATTTTATTTTAGTTGTTTTAATTAAATTTTATTTTTTTTATTTTTTACCCACGTGACTTTACCGAAAAAACCAAATGGTGTACAATATATGAACGCGTTAAACGGTGACGTCATGGAATATTTTACAAACACACCCTCTCACCCTGATGACGTCATTAGCACACCTTCCGTTGGTGAGACGAGAACGGAGACCTCACGGCATCAGCAATCGGGCTGGGAGGCAACCTCGCCGTGACGTCACCGCGCGTGATCTTTTTGTTTCCGTGACGTCACCGCCCTTGTCTACTTCTTCGCCGTGACGTCATGGCGTGTTTACGTCGCGGTGACGTCACGACGCGTTTGCCACCGCGTGACGTCACCACTGTTTATCCTCGGACTCTGCGGAGGAGGAAGCAGCGAGCGAAGGCTCCAGAGGACGACGAGGACGACGCCGAGGTGGAGTTGGTGGTGGACTAGAAGAGAGACAACGTGAGGGGGGAGGAGGAGGAGCAGCGATGGAGGGGACCGTGCGCTTGGACGTTCACGTCGGGGCTCGCGGAACGGCCCTCACCGTGGGCCTGGGCTGCCCGTGGAGGGACGTGGGCGCCATGGTGAGTGAGGGGACGATGGTGGGGGTGGTGAGTGAGGGGACGATGGTGGGGGTGGTGAGTGAGGGGACGATGGTGGGGGTGGTGAGTGAGGGGACGACGGTGGGGGTGGTGGTGAGGAGGGGTGATGGTGGTGAGTGAGGGGACGATGGTGGGGGTGGTGGTGAGGAGGGGTGGTGGTGGTGAGTGAGGGGACGATGGTGGGGGTGGTGGTGAGGAGGGGTGGTGGTGGTGAGTGAGGGGACGATGGTGGGGGTGGTGGTGAGGAGGGGTGGTGGTGGTGAGTGAGGGGACGATGGTGGGGGCGGTGGTGAGGAGGGGTGGTGGTGGTGAGTGAGGGGACGATGGTGGGGGTGGTGGTGAGGAGGGGTGGTGGTGGTGAGTGAGGGGACGATGGTGGGGGTGGTGGTGAGGAGGGGTGGTGGTGGTGAGTGAGGGGACGATGGTGGGGGTGGTGAGTGAGGGGACGACGGTGGGGGTGGTGGTGAGGAGGGGTGATGGTGGTGAGTGAGGGGACGATGGTGGGGGTGGTGGTGAGGAGGGGTGGTGGTGGTGAGTGAGGGGACGATGGTGGGGGCGGTGGTGAGGAGGGGTGGTGGTGGTGAGTGAGGGGACGATGGTGGGGGTGGTGGTGAGGAGGGAGAGACGATGATGGTGAGTGAGGGGACGACGGTGGGGGTGGTGGGGGTGGTGAGGGGTGATGGTGGTGGTGAGTGAGTGAGGGGACGATGGTGGTGGGGGTGGTGGTGGGTGGTGGTGAGGAGGGGGGGAGAGACGAGGGGTGATGGTGAGGAGGGGTGATGGTGAGGGTGATGGCGGTGAGGAGGAGGAGTGGAGAGGCGCTGACGGGGCGAGTTTCGGGCAGCCCGACCGAGTTGGATCCCAGGCGGCGGCTTCACGACGTCCCGTGGGGGGCGACTCGCGTCCAGACGATTCAGAGCCCCCCCCCCCCATCGCGCACGCCGACCCGCGTGGTGAAGTATGGTCAAAGCGTGACGACAACAACAACGACAACATCGACGACGTCTTTGACGAGAGATGCCTGAGCCAGGCCTAGCCCCCCCCCCCCTGTAACAACCTGCCGAGACCCGCGTGGTGAAGTATGGTCAAAGCGTGACGACAACAACGACAACATCGACAACAACGACAACAACAACATCGACGACGTCTTTGACGAGAGATGCCTGAGCCAGGCCTGTGCCTAGCCCCCACCTCCCCCCTCTCTCTCTCTCCTGCGATGGTCCAATCGCCCTTAAACGGGCACCCGAGTCAGGCGTGCGAGCCGAAACGTCGACACTGGGAAGACAAAGACGGCCGGGGTGGGGTATTTGCCGCTCAGAAGCGACGCCGCTCGCCACAACCGCAACGTCTTGCACCGAGTGTGGGGGGCACGGTGTGGGGGGGGTTGTTGTTGTTGATCAGTGTGGGGGGCACGGGGGGGGTTGTTGTTGATCAGTGTGGGGGGCACGGGGGGTTGTTGTTGATCAGTGTGGGGGGCACGGGGGTTGTTTTGTTGTTGATCAGTGTGGGGGGCACGGGGGGGGGGTTGTTGTTGATCAGTGTGGGGGGCACGGGGGGGGGTTGTTGTTGATCAGTGTGGGGGGCACGGGGGTTGTTGTTGTTGTTGATCAGTGTGGGGGGCACGGGGGTTGTTGTTGTTGTTGATCAGTGTGGGGGGCACGGGGGGGGTTGTTGTTGTTGATCGAGGTGGGGGCATGGGGGGTGGGGGTTGTTTTTGTTGATCAGTGTGGGGGCACGGGGGGGGGGTTGTTGTTTTGTTGTTGTTTTGTTGTTGTTTTGTTGTTGATCGAGGTGGCGAGACGGACCTTTCGTGTGTTTGGGGTTTCACTGTTGACGCTCATCTGGGGGGGGGGTGGTGGTCAGTCACCCCCATTGCGCCTGGGGGTGAGTTCACAACTCGCGAGGTGCACCTAGCCTGGCACGAGAGCACCTAGCCTGGCACGAGCACCTAGCCTGGCACGAGCGCCGCGTGCGCTCTCACGGCCCCGCGGCCGCGCTGCTCCGCTTGGTGGTGGTTGTTGTGGTGGTAGTTGTTGTGGTGGTTGTTGTGGTGGTGGTGGTGGTTGTTGTGGTGGTTGTTGTGGTGGTTGTGGTGGTTGTTGTGGTGGTGGTTGTGGTGGTGGTTGTGGTGGTTGTTGTGGTGGTGGTGGTGGTTGTGGTGGTGGTGGTGGTTGTTGTGGTGGTTGTGGTGGTGGTTGTGGTGGTTGTTGTGGTGGTGGTTGTGGTGGTGGTGGTGGTTGTTGTGGTGGTTGTTGTGGTTGTTGTGGTGGTGGTTGTGGTGGTGGTTGTGGTGGTTGTTGTGGTTGTTGTGGTGGTGTAATGGAGGAGGAGGAGGAAGGAGCGGGTATTGGGGTAGCTGTGACGCAGTCGCCGCCGCGGGTTGAATTCTCAACAAACGATGACGTCGACTTGTTGTTGTCGGTGGTCAATCCACTGCTGGATGGACGGACGTTTAATTCTCTCATCATCATCACGGTGGCTAGGAGATGTTAACGACCTCGCCTGGTGTGCAGGAGGTCGTGGGTTCGATCCCGACCCCTGGCACCTGCTGTATATTTGGAGTTTGCGTGTCTCTCTCTCCGTGGTGAGATGTTAACTACCTCGCCTGGTCTACAGGAGGTCGTGAGTTCGATCCCGACCCTGACGCCTGCTGCTGTATATTTGGAGTTTGCGTGTCTCTCTCTCGTCATCATCACGGTGGTAGGAGATGTTAACTACCTCGCCTGGTGTGCAGGAGGTCGTGGGTTCGATCCCGACCCCTGACGCCTGCTGCTGCTGTGTATTTGGAGTTTGCGTGTCTCTCTCATCATCATCACGGTGGCTATGAGATGTTAACTACCTCGCGTGGTGTGCAGGAGGTCGTGGGTTCGATCCCGACCCTGACGCCTGCTGCTGTATATGTGGAGTTTGCGTGTCTCTCCGTGGTGAGATGTTAACTACCTCGCCTGGTCTACAGGAGGACGTGGGTTCGATCCCGACCCTGACGCCTGCTGCTGTATATTTGGAGTTTGCGTGTCTCTCTCATCATCATCACGGTGGCTAGAAGATGTTAACTACCTCGCCTGGTGTGCAGGAGGTCGTGGGTTCGATCCCGACCCCTGACGCCTGCTGCTGTATATTTGGAGTTTGCGTGTCTCTCTCATCATCATCATCACGGTGGCTAGAAGATGTTAACTACCTCGCCTGGTGTGCAGGAGATCGTGGGTTCGATCCCGACCCTGACGCCTGCTGCTGCTGTGTATTTGGAGTTTGCGTGTCTCTCTCATCATCATCACGGTGGCTAGGAGATGTTAACTACCTCGCCTGGTGTGCAGGAGGTCGTGGGTTCGATCCCGACCCCTGACGCCTGCTGCTGTATATTTGGAGTTTGCGTGTCTCTCTCATCATCATCACGGTGGCTAGGAGATGTTAACTACCTCGCCTGGTCTACAGGAGATCGTGGGTTCGATGCCGACCCCTGACGCCTGCTGCTGCTGTATATTTGGAGTCTGCGTGTCTCTCTCCCCGTGGTCGCGTGAATTTTTCTCCGGGTCCTCCGGCTTTTTCCCCCCACGCGTTTAGAATGTGACCGCGATACATTGCCACACGATCATGATGATGATGGTGATGAGCCACTTCGATAAGCTACCACTTGTGATAGCCAGGTTGCCTGTAAAGAAGAAGCAGCAGCAGCAGCAGCTACATAGCTCAGTGGACCTGGTAAAATACAAACTTGTTTATTTTATCTCTACGGCATCGCCATCTCGCCCGGTCTTGCCATGGAGGAGGCGGCAATCCACCGCGCTGCCGTGATCCGATTTCACCGCTCCGTCTCTGCAGCGATTGTCCCCAATCCCTCCGCGTCCTCCAGCCCAAGTTCACTCGCGGTGTGTGGTTTTATTTTGTAGCATTCGCCTGTGACTGATGTTCTCTTAACTTTGCTGTCTTCTAAAGCCTTCCTTCCCAAGAAGGAAGATTTAGCGTTGCTATGGGACCTTTTAGGCAGTATTAAGGCGATGAAAAAGAATAGGCTTCACCCTTTGTTGCCAATAAAAGAGGTGTTAAGATGATAGAACTGGCACGAGCCGAGCTTGTTAATACTTTGATATTTACATTGCCTGAGCAAGTGCCCACCCCCTCGTGAGCCGTAGCCGGCCTTCATAGGTGCTACACGCGAACAGCACTTGCCCTAACAGTTTGTTAAGGCTACACGGGGGATCTTTGGCTTTGTACTCACGGCCAACACCAGTGACGATTGTCTGAACCGGTCCTGGGCCTCCCCTAGGTCCACTCGGCCTCAAGTGAGTACCTAGTGCGGTGTGTAAACATCGTCACCGGGGAAGACAAAGGCGGCCGGGCGTGGTGCTGACCGCCCGCCCCTTCGTGCGCCGTGCCGGCCTTCATAGGTGCTCGCTAACAGCACTTGCCCCAACAGTCTGTGAAGGCTACACGGGGGATCTTTGTCTTTGTTCCTCTCGTCAATAGAAAGTTCTCGAACAGTGGCCGAGTGGTTTCGTCCACTAGGGGCGTTGGATGAGCAGTGAAACCGAACAGCCGGAGATGATTAATTATTATTTTTTCATTTAAAAAATACTTTTCTACAAATAGTTTTGTCGTGTTAAGTTTGTATATAAATATAATGAATTCTTTCAACGTGAATTGCCTAATGAAGATAACATTTTGAGTTGTTCGTTTTAGAAACGGCTGCAACCCCACAGTCTGATTTGTGCCTCGGGGAGGTCTCGGGACGGCCGTGAAGGCGTCCGAGTGAGAGGTTTCCCTTCGTTGGTGGCGATGAGCAGCATTGTGGCCACGCCAGAGGTCGCAAACGGGTTTTGTTTCCTTACCCGTACCCGTACCCGGCCACACCAGGGTCGCAAACGGGTTTTGTTTCCTTACCCGTACCCGGCCACACCAGGGTCGCAAACGGGTACCCGTACCCGGCCGGGTACGGGTACCCGTTCCCTACCCGTACCCTACCCGAAATGAGTGACAAACGGTTACTCAGCAGTGACTCACGGCCTACCCGTACCCGTACCCGGCCGCGCCAGGGTCGCAAACGGATACCCGTACCTGGCCGGGTACGGGTAGCCGGGTATCGGGTAGGGTACGGGTATCGGGTACCCAGTTGCGACCTCTGGAGATATGGCAGCAGCTGCGGCAAACGAAGAATTGGCGACGAATTCTGCGGAGTCACTTCTACGTATTCCATTTGAAAGGATGAAAGGGTTGTGTAGTGTGGAGGGTCACGAGTTGATTAGAGAGTTGTATCACTTATACCGTGACAAGGTTTTTCTGAATTAGAACACCGTATAATAATAGGGGTTTCCCCCTTCTTTCTGGCGACAAAACTTTGGAGGCCGCTTTCTTTTGAGGAAAGCTGTCTCTGATGTGGACCAATCAGTTTCAAGGACAATGCATAAATTAACGGAGTCTTGTTTTTTGTTTACATTCTGGCTGCAAGTATTGTGGTTAATGTAAACATGATTCCTTGCAAAAGGTTTCAGTTTTGTCGCCAGAGAAAAGGGGAAAAACCCTATCATTATATTTTGGTACTGGCAAAGGAGGCCTCGTGATGTAGAACACAATATTTCAGAGGTCACTCACAACAGCCCCAACTCGTTGAAATGCCACGAGCCGCCACTGGTTACAACGCTGACGCTCGCCACGAAAATATTTCAACTTTACTTTTCATGGTTGTCACAAGCGCTCAGAACTAGATATGCTATAAAAACAATGCATCTCACTTGGTGAAATGTCTTTGTAAGTGGTTTGTGCGGCCTCTGGTGTGGACTTACCCCTGGGTGGCGCGCCACTGTGGTATAAATGCGGCATTGTAAGTGCGTCTGTGCTGTATGTTGACATTTGGTGTTCTGAATTCCTGCATTTTGCCCCTAGGGCTGTGTTTAGTTACCCTTGCCAGAAATGCAAACGTGCTGTTCCCCTCGGCTGCCACGTGGTTGGTTCCACAAGATTTTGTATATGGGGTGCCCACAGTGGTTAGGAGATGTTAACTACCTCGCCTGGTGTACAGGAGGTCGTGGGTTCGATTCCGACTCTGACACTTGCTGTATATTTGGAGTTTGCGTGTCTCTCTCATCATCATGACATTGGCTAGGAGATGTTAACTACCTCGCCTGGTATACAGGAGGTCGTCGGTTCGATTCCAACCCTGACACTTGCTGTGTATATTTGGAGTTTGCGTGTCTCTCTTTCTCTCATCAGCATCACGGTGGCTAGGAGATGTTAACTACCTCGCCTGGTGTGCAGGAGGTTGTCGGTTGGATCCCGACCCTGACATTTGTTGTATATTTGGAGTTTGCGTATCTCTCATCCCGAAGTCGTCTGGAATTTTCTCCGGGTCTTCTGGTTTTTTCCCCCTCTACATTTGGAATCAACATCACCCGCTATGGAGTATTTTGCTGCCGCTATAAATGTCCACGTGATGATAAGCCACTTCGTTCAGCTATCATTTGTGGCGAGGTCGCCTCTGAAAAATCGCTCTATAGCTCAGTGGGCCTTACCTGTTAAAATAAAATAAAAAACTATAGTACCTATTATAACTCTTAACTCTTTCTCGCTCAACTGCTAGATGGAAGAAGACAATTCCCGCTGCAGTGTTGGTCATTGAGGGGGTGGGGGTTGTTTGACCATACTTCACCACGCTGGTCCGTGCCGGTTGGAGGGAGAGGGAGGGGTGAACAGAGGACCGGTTCAGGTATCACTTGCCACCGTTGTGAGTTCGGAATATTTATTTTAACAGAATCAGAACGTGTATTTAGACTGCTGGAGGAATTCGTTGAGCCGTGAAGCTCTTTTTCACACACGTCCAGTCGAGGGCATGGGGCCAGAAAGTTTAGAACAGCAAACAATACAAAAACACGAGTGCAATGTATGTGAAAGGTAAATAAATCACACAAAAACTTCCCAGGTAAATCCTGCTGAGTCATCGTTGTCAGAAGCAACCGAGACCAGATATCAGAGCTCAACAAAGTGGCTTATCGTGTAGAGCAGTCAAATAAGCTAAAGACTCTTAAACGCGTAATATCAATTCTAAATGCGGGGGGAAAAACCGGAGGACCCGGAGAAAAAAAAATCCACGCGACCACGGGGAGAGAGAGAGAGACACGCAAACTCCAAATATACAGCAGCAGGCGTCAGGGTCGGGATCGAACCCACGACCTCCTGTGCACCAGGCGAGGTAGTTAACATCTCCTAGCCACCGTGATGATGAGAGAGAGAGAGACACGCAAACTCCAAATATACAGCAGCAGCAGGCGTCAGGGTCGGGATCGAACCCACGACCTCCTGTATACCAGGCGAGGTAGTTAGCATCTCCTAGCCACCGTGATAATGAGAGAGAGAGACATGCAAACTCCAAATATACAGCAACAGGCATCCGAGTCGGGATCGAAGCAACGACCTCCTGCATACCAGGCGAGGTAGTTAACATCTAGCCACCGTGATGATGATGAGAGAGAGAGATAGAGACACGCAAACTCCAAATATACAGCAGGCGTTAGGGTCGGGATCGAAGCAACGACTTCCTGCACACCAGGCGAAGTCTTTACCATCCCCTAAGTGGTTACAACTTTAAGCTCATGGCAAATTTGTATGTGGTGGTGGTGAGGGGGAGGTGTCCCTCGGTCTGTCGCCGCAGCTGATGTTTTTGTTTCTGCAGATCCTCGCGTCTTTTGGACTGGCGAGCGCGCACTACACTTACCTGGACGAGGACAACGAGGAGGTACGTGCAACAGAGACCCCCCCGGCTGCCAGGCCCACACCGCCCTTCACCGCCCTTCACCGCCGGTGTTGCCAACCTTGGGTTGGTTTCAACGGAAACGTCCGGTCCGGCTTTATTAGCGGCCAGTATATTTGACGATTCGTAATTTAGTTGTTTCGCGACGGGTTAGGACAAGCGCATTCCCAACCTTGTGGTCCTCTCGCCGACCGCCAGGGGTCCGCAAGGCCGCGGAAAATAATAATAATAAAGACATCCTCACCACAATTTCAGGAAAAGAATATTTAATTATAGTGGGGAAATCCTATGAGCTCTTAAGCTCTTTTTTCACGGACGACCCGTAGGGGTACGGGAGTCGGAACGTGACAACAACAAGCAGTGCAAAAACACGATAGCAGTGCCAAGTATAAGAAAAGTAAGCAAATCACTTTTTTAAAAATATGCAAATAAAATTAAACAAATTTTTTTTTTAATCTTACCAGGTAAGACTCAGCGAGCCGGTAACTCGCAGCCAAATTTCAAACAACTGCTCGTGCTAGCGTGTGATGCTGGTGTTGGCCCGCAAAATGTTTAGAGGTTGTAAAGGGGCCCGCTCACTCGAAAACGTTGGGAACCGCCGGGTGAGCCACGCACTGATCGGGCCAAAATCTGAGACCATCCGCCGCCCGACGCAGACAAACAAGATGAAACGTCCACGTGTACGAACGTTACTCATTCACACGGCTCGCTCGCAGGCTGTAGCGGAAGAGAGCGGCCCCCGCAGCCAAAGCAAACGAGTAGGCGGCGCTCCGCTCAGCTCGAACGGCGAGTTCGCCCTACGGCTGACGCCGCGTTTGGCGGGGACGCGTTCCCAGTCCCCGTGCCGCTACTCCGTCTTTTAATAGACGTGGCAAGTCACCCAGCGGCTATGTTGACAACGCTTGGAAGGAGGAGTCCGGAGCGACGGCTGCGAGCCGATTGAGACTCGTTTGGTAAAGTTTCCTCTTTTTTAAGAGTTGCCAGGCTCTCTGTTCTAGACTCGGGGTTTGGAGACTAAAATAGGTAAACGGCGGGTCTCTGAAAGCGACGCCACGCAATTATAGATGGACACGTCAGTTTTTTTTTATACAGCGTTACTCGAAGTTAAGGGCACGAAGCTTCTCTTGCAGCAGATAAATATTTAAGGGTCCGATGATTTCAGCCTCGTAAATCACGTCGGGGAAAACCCAGACGTGGGCGGTCGTGCGCGCACAGGGATAGAGACGCACACACACCGTGATAGAGACACACACACACACACAGTGATAGAGACGCACACACACACACAGTGATAGAGACACACACACACACAGTGATAGAGACACACACACACACAGTGATAGAGACACACACACACACAGTGATAGAGACACACACACACAGTGATAGAGACACACACACACACAGTGATAGACACACACACACACAGTGATAGACACACACACACACACAGTGATAGACACACACACAGTGATAGAGACACACACACACAACAGTGATAGACACACACACACAGTGATAGAGACACACACACACACAGTGATAGAGACACACACACACAGTGATAGAGACACACACACAGTGATAGAGACACACACACACACAGTGATAAAGACACACACACACACAGTGATAGAGACACACACACACAGTGATAAAGACACACACACAGTGATAGAGACACACACACACACACAGTGATAGAGACACACATACACACAGTGATAGAGACACACACACACAGTGATAAAGACACACACACAGTGATAGAGACACACATACACAGTGATAAAGACACACACACACACAGTGATAGAGACACACACACACAGTGATACACACACACACACAGTGATAGAGACACACACGGGGATAGACACTCATACACAGTGATAAAGACGCACACAGTGATAGAGACACACATACACAGTGATAAAGACACACACAGTGATAATGACACACACACAGTGATAGACACACACACACAGTGATAGAGACACACACACACAGTGATACACACACAGTGATAGAGACACACACACACAGTGATACACACACACACACAGTGATAGAGACAACACACACACAGTGATAGACACACACACACAGTGATAGACACACACACACAGTGATAAAGACACACACAGTGATTCACACACACACAGTGATACACACACACACAGTGATAGAGACACACACACACAGTGATAAAGACACACACCCAGTGATAGAGACACACACACACACAGTGATAAAGACACACACACACAGTGATAAAGACACACACACACCGTGATAGAGACACACACGGGGATAGAGACACACACACACACACAGTGATAAAGACACACACACACACAGTGATAAAGACACACACACAGTGATAGAGACACACACACACACACACAGTGATAGAGACACACACACACAGTGATAGACACACACACACAGTGATAGACACACACACACAGTGATAGAGACACACACACACAGTGATAGACACACACACACAGTGATAGAGACACACACACACAGTGATAGACACACACACAGTGATAAAGACACACACATGGGATAGACATGCACACAGTGATAGAGACACACACACACACGCTGGGGGAGCAGTGGGATTGAACCAAGAATATTCCCAAGTCCCATGCCGTGTCAGGTGATGCTGCGTCTCATTTTCTCTCTCCACAGGTGTCCATCGACACTGAAGGTAGGGCGGCGCAACAAAGCATCCCCTGCACAACACAATAAAGACAAAGATCGCCCGTGTAGCCTCGGGCTTCCGGAGGGAAAGTGCCTTTGGCGAGCGCCTGTGAGGGGCCGGCACGGCACACGTGGCCACCACTCCCACGCCCGGCCCGCTTTGTCTCCGCCCAGTGGCGGCGTGTACACGCGGCACACGAGTGCTCGTTTAATCAGAAGCTGAGTCTTTATGTGGACTGCAAGGCGGAGCAATCCGATGGGCTGTGAAGCTCTTTGTTTCTTGCAGAGGTCTCTCTAGCGTGGGTCACGGGGTCGGCGGGTTTACAACAGCGAGCGATGCAAAAACTTAACGACAGCAGTGCAAGATGGAGAAATGGGTGTTAGCGGGTCACTAAATATCACAATAATGATCAATTGCTCCCTGATTTAAATCTGATTTATCGAGAGCTTTGTCAGGGCAGCAAAAATAATAAGAGACGGAGTCACGGGCCACAACGAGTTGGCACCACAACGGCGGTAGTTAGTCGTTCGGCAAGATGGCGTGTGGACATTTAAGGCCGAGCTGACCTAGGGGGGAGGCACACAGGACCAACGTTTTCTCATGAGCAGCGGGTGGAATCGGTTTGTAGCGCGGTGCACCCTGCTCGGATGCCGCCCGTGTCCGGATGATTTTATTAGGAAGCACCTTGAAATCTAGATTGAAAAACTCATTTCTATCGAACGGCTTTTCGTGTCACCATTGGAACCTCATTTGCCAGTAAAAAATATGATAATTGGTTTTTTACCCTTCTATCTGGCAACAAAACTGACACCTTTTTTACAAGGAGTCATGTTTGCATAGACCACTACCGCAGTCATAATACAAAAAAAAACATAACTCTGATAATGTACATATACATACATTATCAGAGTTGTGTTTTTTGTTTGTACATATACATACATTATCAGAGTTGTGTTTTTTGTTTGCATTATGACTGCAGGTATTGTGGTCTATGCAAACATGACTCCTTGTGAAAAAGGTGTCAGTTTTGTTGCCAGATAGAAGGGTAAAAAAACAATTATCACGGCTTTTCGTGTGTCTAGTTTGTTATCCTTCCCCCCCCACGCACACGTCCGATGAGCACGGATGGCTACGTACGGCGCGAATGAAGTTGAACAGAAGACGCCCACCCCAGCCAGCCTGTGTTTAGAAATAATCTTTTACAAAATCTGGTTGCTGTGAGGCTCGGTTGGGACTTGATGACGGCATTAAGACTCTGACCTTTATTACCTCCAAATGGGGGCAAAGCTAAACACACGCACGCACACTGATTGTGCACCGCCCTCGGCCATAACCTTCCAGTGTTCAAACAATTTCCTGCAAAAAGTGTCTCGATTGGAATCGTCGTACAGTAGCGGCGGCGGCAGCAACATCGCTCGCCCCACCCGCACAGCCCGTGACCCAGAGAGTGTGAGCGTGTGAGTGTGAGCGTGTGATTGTGAGCACGGTGAGCGTGTGAGTGTGAGCGTGTGAGTGTGTGAGCGTGTGATTGTGAGCACGGTGAGCGTGTGAGTGTGAGCGTGTGCACGGTGAGTGTGAGCGTGTGAGTGTGTGAGCGTGTGATTGTGAGCACGGTGAGCGTGTGAGTGTGAGCGTGTGAGTGTGTGAGCGTGTGATTGTGAGCACGGTGAGCGTGTGAGTGTGAGCGTGTGCACGGTGAGTGTGAGCGTGTGAGTGTGAGCACGGTGAGCGTGTGAGTGTGAGTGTGTGAGCGTGTGATTGTGAGCACGGTGAGCGTGTGAGTGTGAGTGTGTGAGCGTGTGATTGTGAGCACGGTGAGCGTGTGAGTGTGAGCGTGTGCACGGTGAGTGTGAGCGTGTGAGTGTGTGAGCGTGTGATTGTGAGCACGGTGAGCGTGTGAGTGTGAGCGTGTGAGTGTGTGAGCGTGTGATTGTGAGCACGGTGAGCGTGTGAGTGTGAGTGTGTGAGCGTGTGATTGTGAGCACGGTGAGCGTGTGAGTGTGAGTGTGTGAGCGTGTGATTGTGAGCACGGTGAGCGTGTGAGTGTGAGCGTGTGCACGGTGAGTGTGAGCGTGTGAGTGTGTGAGCGTGTGATTGTGAGCACGGTGAGTGTGAGCGTGTGAGTGTGTGAGCGTGTGATTGTGAGCACGGTGAGCGTGTGAGTGTGAGCGTGTGCACGGTGAGTGTGAGCGTGTGAGTGTGTGAGCGTGTGATTGTGAGCACGGTGAGCGTGTGAGTGTGAGCGTGTGAGTGTGTGAGCGTGTGATTGTGAGCACGGTGAGTGTGAGCGTGCTAGCGTGTAAGCGTGTGAGCGTGTGAGCGTGTGCACGGTGAGTGTGAGCGTGTGAGTGTGTGAGCGTGTGATTGTGAGCACGGTGAGCGTGTGAGTGTGAGCGTGTGCACGGAGAGTGTGAGCGTGTGAGTGTGTGAGCGTGTGATTGTGAGCACGGTGAGCGTGTGAGTGTGAGCGTGTGCACGGTGAGTGTGAGCGTGTGAGTGTGTGAGCGTGTGATTGTGAGCACGGTGAGTGTGAGCGTGCTAGCGTGTAAGCGTGTGAGCGTGTGAGCGTGTGCACGGTGAGTGTGAGCGTGTGAGTGTGTGAGCGTGTGATTGTGAGCACGGTGAGCGTGTGAGTGTGAGCGTGTGCACGGTGAGTGTGAGCGTGTGAGTGTGTGAGCGTGTGATTGTGAGCACGGTGAGCGTGTGAGTGTGAGCGTGTGCACGGTGAGTGTGAGCGTGTGAGTGTGTGAGCGTGTGATTGTGAGCACGGTGAGCGTGTGAGTGTGAGCGTGTGCACGGTGAGTGTGAGCGTGTGAGTGTGTGAGCGTGTGATTGTGAGCACGGTGAGCGTGTGAGTGTGAGCGTGTGAGTGTGTGAGCGTGTGATTGTGAGCACGGTGAGTGTGAGCGTGCTAGCGTGTAAGCGTGTGAGCGTGTGAGCGTGTGCACGGTGAGTGTGAGCGTGTGAGTGTGTGAGCGTGTGATTGTGAGCACGGTGAGCGTGTGAGTGTGAGCGTGTGCACGGTGAGTGTGAGCGTGTGAGTGTGTGAGCGTGTGATTGTGAGCACGGTGAGTGTGAGCGTGCTAGCGTGTAAGCGTGTGAGCGTGTGAGCGTGTGCACGGTGAGTGTGAGCGTGTGAGTGTGTGAGCACGGTGAGTGTGAGCGTGCTAGCGTGTGAGCGTGTGCACGGTGAGTGTGAGCGTGTGAGAGTGTGAGCGTGTTGAGTGTGAGCGTGCTAGCGTGTAAGCGTGTGAGCGTGTGCACGGTGAGCGTGTGAGTGTGAGCACGGTGTGAGTGTGAGTGTGTGAGCACGGTGAGTGTGAGCGCGTAAGTGTGAGCGTGTGAGCGCGTGAGCGCGTGAGCGTGTGCACGGTGAGTGTGAGCGTGTGAGTGTGTGAGCACGGTGAGTGTGAGCGCGTAAGTGTGAGCGCGTGAGCGTGATGCAAGGGTTGCGTCATGAAGTGCCTTGACTCGCTGTTGTGTTTTCGCAGAGGAATACGGCGAAGCGCTCAAGGTGAGATGCGCGTCACTCGCCCATCACCTGACACGCTCGCTCACACGCACACGCCTGTCACACGCACACGCCTGTCACACGCACACGCCTGTCACACGCACACGCCTGTCACACGCACACGCCTGTCACACGCACACGCCTGTCACACGCATACGCCCGCTTACCCACGCACACTCGTGTGTACACGCTCATGTACGAAATGTGTTTTTACCCGCCCCAATCGGACGTTTGTGAAAAAGCGCTTTACAGCTCATTGGATTCCTCCAGTGTAAATAAATATTCTGATTCTGCTCAGGCTCACAGAACGCCCGCACACGCTCGCACACTCGCGCACTAACACAGTGTACAAAACCAGACATGCACACACAGATACAAATAAGGTCTCCCATACAGCCACCAATAGTCTCCCTGGGGCCGATGTTTACACACCGCACCAGGTACTAAGGCTCAGTCGACCTATGGAAGGCCCAGGCCTGGATCTGAACTCACGAATGATGCCGGCCCTGAGCCGGTCAGCGAACTTGGGTTGGCGGGTTCGTAGCGCAGTACCCTAACTACTGTGCCACCACTCCCCCTGCCATCCCACCCACGCACGTACACACACACGTACACACACACACACGCGTACACATGTACACACACGCACACGTACACACGTACACACACACACGTAGACACGTACACACACGTCGTACACATGTACACACACGTACACACACACGTACACGTACACACGCGTACACATGTACACACACGTACACACACACGTACACACACGTACACACACGTACACACGCACGTACACACACGCACGTACACACACGCGTACACGTACACACGCGTACACATGTACACACACGTACACACACACGTACACACACGTACATCATGTACACACACACTGTACACACGTACACACACATGTACACACGTACACACACGTACACACACACATGTACACACACACGTACGCACGTACACACACGTACACACGTACACACACACTGTACACACGTACACACACATGTACACACACACTGTACACACGTACACACATGTACACACACACGTACGCACACATGTACACGCGCATACCTGGCTGGGCGTGACTACGAGCAGAGCCGATGGAAGTTAACCCCCCCCCCCCCCCGAGGGTGGTGGAGGGAGGGGCACTGTCGTCCGTAACTAAACAATACCGTGCCGTGTTTAGCTCTTGCGTAACATTGCTGGCAGCGGGCAGTGAGTGTTCACCGTAGTCAGGGGACTCAAAACAACGCAAAGACCGTGTTGTGGTTATAAATACCAACGGGGATAATTGTTTGGATGTGAGCCAAGAGTTGGCCTACTGGCCAAGTTGTCCTGAATCCACCCGATGATGGGTTTAACCGGCAGCCTCTGGATTAATTCTAGATTTGAAGCTTTCGTGACTGCAATGATTCATATTCTTAGGTTTTTTTCGGTAAAGTCACGTAGGTTAAAAAATTAATAAAAGTAAAATAAAATAAAAATCACGACGTTTCGGAGGCAACACAAGCTTCCGTCTTCAGGTGGTACCGTCACAGCCACGACAGCTGTATCAACTAGTAGCTCCTGCAATCTCTCATTTACTTGATACAGCCGTCGTGGCTGTGACGGTGCCACCTCCGAAACGTCGTGATTTTTATTTGATTTTACTTTTTAATGTTTTTACCTACGTGACTTTACCGAAAAAACCTAAGAATAAGCCTCTGGATTGCGTGCGTGGAGCTCGCAAATCTGTTAAAGATCTGGCCACGGTGCCATCGGTGAGCTCATCCGGCAGGCGACGCGGCCTTGGCTGTGTCGTGTAGCCCGCATGCCCAGCCACCGCTTGCCCAAGCTGCTTCTGTTTGGCCCGATCGAGGGGGCTAAACGAGTGCGGGCTAGAGAAGGGATGGACTGATGCGGTACAGGAGGATGTGGATCGGCCTCTATGGAGGAGGCTTGTAAAAGATGCTACTGGGCAGTTGGAGGCAATTGCCCTCCAACAAAATCGGAGGGCAGAGGAGTGATGCTCACAATAACGAGGAAAGTTCCAGATGCCTAAAACATCGCAAGTTGGCACAGGTGGTACATCTGCCAGCCATCTCAGTCATCCCATGGCACCTGGGTCTATCCCGTGACCTGCCAGCGAGCCTTCGGCACTTGACGCGGGCTTCGAGTGTACCTGGCGTGGCACAAGCGCTGTGGTGACTTCACCACCACATCGTGGCGAATGGTGGTGGTTGTATCTGCAAGTGTCTGTGCGTGCATGTGCACGTTCGTGTTTATTTATACAAAGGCGGCCGGTCGTGGTGCTGGCCACCCACCCCCTAACAGCGCTTTCGCCTACAGTCTGTTCGGGCTATATGGGTGATCTTTGTCTTTGTATGTATACAGGTGGCATGTGCTGATGGCTATGTTCTGCACATCACCGTCCACAACGAGGAATCAAGTTCAGGGACGGATGACTCCAGCAGCGGCAACGTCAGCGTCAGCAGCAGCAGCACCACAACAACCACAAGTGTGCAGGAGCCTGCAGCCGTCTTCATATCGCAGCAGCAGCAGCAGCAACAGCAGCAGCATTATGATGAACACCGCCACCGCCACCACCACCACCACCACGAAAAGCACCACCACCACCACCAACCTCATCACCACCACCATCACCACAAGCATCACCAGCAGCAGCTTGAGCAGCAGCTTCAGCAGCACCTTCAACAGCACCAGCAGCAGATTCAGCAGCACCAGCAGCAGATTCAGCAGCACCAGCAGCAGGTGCTGCAGTTCCAGCAGCAGGCTCAACAACAGCAGCAGCAGGCGGTGGTGCAGCAAGTGCAGGTGCAGCAAGTTGAGGAGCAGCACCAGCAGCAGGTGCTGCAGTTCCAGCAGCAGGTTCAACAGCAGCAGCAGGCGGTGGTGCAGCAATTTCAGGAGCAGCACCAGCAGCAGGTGCTGCAGTTCCAGCAGCAGGCTCAACCGCAGCAGCAGGCGGTGGTGCAGCAAGTTGAGGAGCAACAACAGCAGCAGCAGCAGCAGAAGAATCAGGTTTGTGAAGATTTGTACCCCGCTCGGGGAACCCGGCGCGTCTGCCACGCCAACCAATGAAACTCGTGGGCAGCGGTGATTCAACTTGGCTTGCTCCTCACCGCCGGCACGACCTGTTTGCTGGCGGTCACTCGCCGGGCTTGAGCAGCGTTTGCCGCCGTCGTACAGAGCCGAGCCGAGGCGAGGCGGGTGAAGAATGGCCCCGTTCTGCTGTGCACGACCCTTCTTGTAACCTTCGACCTCGGTTCGGCACGACTCGCCTTCGTGCGTCGGTACCGTCGCTGCCTTGCAGACGGCCCCGCGGGGCATCGCGCCGCGTGTCAACATCTTAAACACGATGGGTTGGAGGGAGGGGGGGGGGAAGGTCGCCCCGTTGCGCCGCGTGGATTTTTGTTGAAACGGATTCGGCAAGTTTTGATTTGGCCGTACGCAAGCCGGCGGGCGGCTGTTGCCTGGCGCTGGATGCAGCCGCGTGTTTGCAAATGGTCCGTTTTGCTCTCTGGTTTGAGTGCCAACATTTGGGGGAAGGTCACCCCACGTGATTTTCAACGGGGTGAATGATTGTCTGATAAGCACTGCAACTTATACGAAAGCTTCGCTCGTATCGGATCGCCGTTCCGAGATTCGTTTATGTCCCGCACACCCCTCTTATGGATGGACCGCCGAGCAGAGCTAACATACGAACGCCTTAAACTTTCGTTGGAGAGCTGTCAAATACCATTTTTTAATCTGCCCTAAATAAATATCCGGGGTCAAGGTGTTGGCGCGCTAAGTAGACACCGATCACGCTTTGCGTAGCCACGCACGCTCGTGGCGGGGAAAAAATGCGCGCAAAATACGGCTCTGGTAATCTTCGCATGTTCCTCGACTCTGCCTCCGTTGCGGGATTTGTGTTGATAAGGTGAGCAGCACACGGGCAATGCAATCGCCGACCACATGATTAGCTCCGGTTCAGCTTTCATAACTTGTGACACTGCCAACACAGGGTCCCGTGGTGACTTGGAAAGCGTAAAGAAAGTGACTGGGTGGTGGAGGGCAAATCGGAATGTGGTTTTGGGTTCACTCCTGCCATCGCAGTCACCCTAGCCATACGGTGATCCGGATCCAGCTTGTGGTAATGTGAACGGCATTTTGCAACTCCATTCCGCGTTTTCCTGATCAACCAACATGTTCGGTCCATATGCAGAGCACCTTCACTCAAGGCGCTTGCCATGGCGAACGAAACGGTGACAGGATGGAGTGCTGTAGTTGCAGGAGGTCGTGGGTTAAATCCCGACCCTGGCGCCTGCTGCTTTACATATGGAGTTTGCGTGTCTCTCCCGCCCCCGTGGTCACGGTCCTCCGGTTTTCCTCCTCCACTTTAAGAATCAACATCACGCATTTAAAAATATTCGGCTGCTACATATTTCCACGTGATAAGTCAATTTCGTTGAGCTGTCATTTGTGGCCAGGTCGCTTCTGATTTGAAAAAAAAACAAAAGCTACATAGCTCAGTGGGCCTTAGCTGGTAAAATTAAAAAAAAGATAGTCAACAGTAATAATGAAAAAGTCAGACCGGAGTTGCAAAGTGCCGCTGTAAGTAGGCGACGAGACGTCTCCGCGTGCGGCTGGTGGTGGTGGTGGCGGTGGTGGTGGCGGCGGCGGTGGTGGCGGTGGTGGTGGTGGCGGCGGTGGTGGTGGTGGCGGCGGTGGTGGCGGCGGTGGTGGTGGTGGTGGCGGCGGCGGTGGCGGTGGTGGTGGTGGTGGCGGTGGCGGTGGTGGTGGTGGCGGTGGTGGTGGTGGCGGTGGTGGCGGGGGCGGCGGTGGCGGCGGTGGCGGTGGTGGCGGCGGTGGTGGTGGTGGTGTGCGGATCTCATTTGGCCTTCTCATGCTGTGGACGCTGCCCGTGAAGGTGGACGAGACTCCGCTGGTGGTGACCCAGCGCCCGGACGTTGATGGCGGCGGCAGCAGCAGCAGCGGCGGCGGCGATGATCCTGGTGACGTTGACGGTGATGGTGCCGCCACCGGTGGCGGTGGGGATGGTTTCCCGGTACCGCCCGGCACACCGCCTCCGTGGTTCCAGGAGTACATGGAGAAGGTGAGGGCAGCTTCTACGCGGCAAACCAGAGCCTGGGTTCGAGTTTCGACTTGGGCGCCTTTTTGCGTGGAGTGTGTATGATCTCTCCCTGTGCTACACAGAGTGAGTGGAGTTTGTATGATCTCCCCCTGTTCTGCAGTGAGAGTGAGTGAGTGGAGTTTGTATGATCTCTCCCTGTTCTACAGTGAGAGTCAGTGAGTGGAGTTTGTATGATCCCCCCCTGTTCTGCAGTGAGAGTGAGTGGAGTTTATATGATCTCCCCCTGTTCTACACAGAGTCAGTGGAGTTTGTATGATCTTCCCCTGTTCTACAGAGTGAGTGGAGTTTGTATGATCTCCCCCTGTTCTACACAGAGTGAGTGGAGTGTGTATGATCTCTCCCTGTTCTACACAGAGTGAGAACAGGGGGAGATCATATGACGGCTGTGACTCCCCCCGCCGTCCCCCCGTCCCTCTCCTCTGCTTCAGTTCCGAGAGAAAGTGGTGATGGACGTGACGGTCCGCGTGACCAAGGAGGTGCGGAAGAGCCTGGCTCGCGAGCTCGCCGGAGGCGTGCCGCCCAAGGGACACCCCCCCGGCAACGGGGCGGCCAAGGGACACCCCCCCGGCAACGGGGCGGCCCCCCCAGATCCTCGGGCTCGCGACTCGGACGAGCCGGACAACGGAGCTGGCGCCCGGGACGCCAAGTACGAGACCGCGGCGGGGACAGGCAGTACAAGTGGGACAGGCAGTACAAGTGGGACGGGCAGTGCAAGTGGGACAGGCAGTACAAGCGGGACGGGCAGTACAAGTGGGACAGGTGGGACAGGCAGTACAAGTGGGACAGGCAGTACAAGCTGGACTGGCAGTACAAGCGGGACAGGCAGTACAAGCGGGACAGGCAGTACAAGCGGGACAGGCAATGCTCATGGCATAGGAAGTACGGGGAAGTGCTAACGGGACGGGACAGTACCGTGATGAACACATACACCTGCCCCTCAACTGTGTTCAGCACCGGTTGGCTACGTGCGATGCAAAAGAAGTTCAGCATACACACACACACAAGCCCGCATACAGACGGGCGCTTGATATTATCATATATTATATAGCGTCTACTTACTCGGGTGAGGCCTCGCTAAGTCTCAAGACTCATTGTTTTTTTTTTGTTCATGAGAGTAGTTATTCAGCAGAGAGATGTTCTGGCACATGCCAGTTACATTGTGTGTGTGGGTGTGTGTGTGGGTGTGTGTGTGGATGTGTGTGTGGGTGTGTGTGGGTGTGTGGGTGTGTGTGGGTGGGTGTGTGTGTGTGGGTGTGAGTGAGTGGGTGTGTGTGGGTGTGAGTGGGTGTGTGTGGGTGTATGTGTGTGTGTGGGTGTGTGTGTGTGGGTGTGTGTGGGGGGGTGTGGGTGTATGTGTGTGTGTGGGTGTGTGTATGTGTGTGTGTGTTGGTGTGTGTGTGAGTGTGTGTGTGGGTGTGTGTGGGTGTGTGGGTGTGTGTGTGTGGGTGTGTGGGTGTGTGTGTGTAAGTGTGTGGGTGTGTGTGTGTAAGTGTGTGTGTGGGTGTGTGTGGGTGTGTGGCCTTGAAGCCGTGAGAAGAAACCGGGGATGCCAGAGGAAACCCATGCAGAACGGGGGGAAGAGAGAGAACACACAAACTCCACACACACACAAACTTCACACACACACACAAACTTCACACACACACTCCACACACACACACACAAACTTCACACAAACTCCACACACACACTCCACACACACTCCACACACACACACACAAACTTCACACACACACAAACTTCACACACACACACAAACTTCACACACACACACAAACTCCACACAGACACACACACTCCATACACACACACAAACTTCACACACAAACACACACACTCCACACACACAAACTTCACACACACACACAAACTTCACACACAAACACACACACTCCACACACACAAACTTCACACACACACAAACTTCACACACACACACAAACTTCACACACAAACACACACACTCCACACACACAAACTTCACACACACACAAACTTCACACACACACACAAACTTCACACACAAACACACACTCTCCACACACACAAACTCCACACACACACAAACTCCACACACACACACTCCACACATACACACAAACTCCACACACACACAAACTCCACACACACACACAAACTCCACACACACACACAAACTCCACACACACACACAAACTTCACACACACACAAACTCCACACACAAAGACAAGTAGTCTTGACAGACTGTAGGGGCAAGTGCTGTTAGCAAGCAGCACCTATGAAGGCCGGCACGGCACACGAGGGGGTGGGTGGCCAGCACCACGCCCGGCCGCCTTTGTCTCCCCAGTGGCGATGTTTACACAACTGAACCCGGTATTTGTTTTGAGGCTGAGTCGACATAGGGGAGGCCCAGGACCGGTTCAGATAATCGTGGTGTTGATGGCCGTGAACGGGAAACGGACTCGGGTCGTCGGGTTCCTTAGCGCCGCTCGCTAACTGCTAAACTAGCGTTCCACCCACAAAGACAAAGGTCCCCCACATAGCCTTAACAGACTGTTGTGGCAAGTGCTATTAGCAAGCACTTGTATCCACGCACACTTACACACTCATTCACTCTCACTTGCACTCACTCATTCACACTCGATCACACTTGATCACACGTGCGCTTGCACGTTAGACGCTCATCCGCGTGCGCACGGCGCCGCAAGGCGTCCGAGTCGTAGGGATGGAACCCTCCCCCCCCACCTCCCCGGGCGCCCTCCGTGGCGTGCTGCGAGGCAACAAGCGTCAGCGCCGGCGTGACCCCGTGCCCCCCCCCGCCCCTCCCACAGGCAGCGCCTGCGCGCCGAGAAGGAGCTCCTGCGCCTGGAGAAGCAGCGCCTGCGCGCCGAGAAGAAGCAGCGCAAGGCCGAGTTCCGCGAGATCAAGCGCCAGCTGAGCATGCAACGCTACGGCCGCGCCTGGGCCGGGGTCGCGGTCGCGGCCGGCGCCCCGGCGGGGGTGGGCGCTGCAGGCGGTGCAAAGAAGAAGCGGGAGGAGGAGCAGGAGGAGAAGGAGGAGAATTTCGAGGAGGCGGCGGCGGCGGCGGCGGCTGCTCAGCTGGTTGCGCCCTCTCACATGTGAGCGGTTGCTGCGGTTGCTGCGGTTGCGGCGGTTGCGGCGGTTGCGTCGCGCCATCGTGAGATGTCGAACCCCTTAGGGGAAGTCTCGGACGCCCCCGTCATGTTGTCAGGGACCGGCCCGCGGAAGCGGATGTCGCGGAGCTACTGCTCGAGTGCAGCTTCAAGTTGTGCACGTCTACGTGAAACTCGTCTCGCGCCGTGCTACTCGAGGGTGCGGGAGGAAGGACGGCGAACTAAACGCACAAAGCAGCTGTAAAGAAACGAGTTTGTCAATCTAGATCAGCGGTCGGGAACCTATGGCTCGCGAGCCATATATGGCTCTTCCGGTGACGGCATATGGCTCCCAGACAATTTTGAGTTGAAAAAAATAATAATAAAAAAATTCAAATAAAATCAGTTTGGAACTGATTTTAAAATACTTGTGATATTGCTTAATAATACTGTGTCATTTTAAAGTGAACAGAAATTAGTTTTGAAGATAAAATTTCTCGGGTCACGGATCCCGTGACCAGAAGTCGCATTAAAAGTAAGGCATATTTAATTTATTATACGTCAAAAATACTATATGGCTGTCAATGAAATATATTAATAAATATATTGCGTTTATGGCTCTCCCAGTCAAAAAGGTTCCCGACCCCTGATCTAGATGATCGGCTCCCAGTAGCTTCCTCATATCGGAAGGAAGAGCATTCCAGACGGCCGCAAAGCGCATCTGAAAGCACCGAGCGATGCGGTGACCACCGCCTTTGTTGGATGGCTCGCAGCCGAAAGCCGCTGCCGCCGCTGCTGCGAAGATGAGCGTCGTTCCGCGTGATGGTTTATGCACAGCCTGCCCACTCCCCTCCCCCCCCCAGCCCGGCGCTGGCGTGCGTCAACGCCGTGTTCGTGGAGGAGAATCTGCCCGACGGCACCCACGTGCAGCCCGAGATGCGCTTCATCAAGCACTGGCGCATGTGCAACACGGGCAACATGGCCTGGGACTCGCGCACCACGGTACAGCGGCAACAACAACAGCGGTGGCGGTGGTGACGTCACCCCGCGGCGCTCGTGCCAGGCTCGGTGCACTTTGAGGCTGTCACGTGAAGTGCGGATGGCTCGCTACTGGCAGGAGGGCACGGGGCAGACCCAGGTGTCACGGGTCGACTGAGACGAGTGGCCGATGCACCACCTGTGCCCCCTACTGCGCCAACTCGCGGCGTTTTAGCCGCCCGGCGCTCCGCTCGTTGTTGCGAGCGTCGCTCCTCCGCCCTCCGTTGTTGCTGGAGGGCGACTGCCTCCAAATGCCCAGTAGCAGCAGCGTCAATATTGCCTTGAACAGACTGTAGGGCCAAGGGCTGTTAGCGAGTAGCACCTGTGAAGGCCGGCATGGCACGCGAGGGGGTGGGCGGCCAGAGGGACCACGCCTTGCCGCCTTTGACTCCCCAACGCCGATGTTTACACGACGCGCACGAGGTACTCATTTAAAGCCGAGTTGACCTAGGTGAGGCACAGTGACTGGTTCAGATAATCGTCACTTGATGTTGACAATTCCTTCACGCAACCAAAAACAGCGGCAAATATTTGAGCCAGTCCTGGGCCTGCCCGAGGTCGGCTCATCCTTCACAAAGGTACCTGGTGCCCTGGGCAGTCAACATCAACATGGGAAGAGACAAAGGCAGCCGGGCGTGGTGTTGGCCACCCACCCTCCTCCAGTAGCGTGCCGGCCTTCACAGATGATATTCGCTAACAGCACTTGCCCCAACTGTGTTCAGGCTATACGAGAGATCTTTGTCTCTTTTATCCACCCGTCTCTCTCTGTATATACGTACGCCCGGATCCGTCCATCCATACGCCCATCCTTACATTCCTGTGTGTCCATGCGTACGTATGTCCCTCCATACCTTCATACGTCCGTGTACATCCGTCCTTACAATCCTCTGTGTGCGTGTCCGTCCGTATATGTGCGTGTCCCTCCATACATATGCCTGGGTCCATCCGTCCTTAAATTCCTGTGTGTGTGTGTGTGTGTACGCGCGTGCTTGCCTGTCCGTGCGTTGTTTGTCCGCGACAGCTGCAGCTGCTGTGGGGAAACCTCTGCGTGGCGGTGAGCACGGGACGCGAGGTGAGCGTGCCCTTCCTGGCGCCGGGCAGCACTGGCACGCTCTCCGTGGAGTTTGTGGCCCCCGCGGCCGAGGGCACCTACACGTCGCACTGGCGGCTGGCGCACGAGGGCCGCCCCTTCGGACCCCGCGTGTGGGTCACCGTGGTGGTGGCCGACCCGCCCATGGGCCCCGAGGCCCACAGCTCCCCGACGCACTCCCTCTACAGCGACGTGCGCAACACTCGCAAGGTGCCAACGTCGCCGCCGCCGCATTGTGTGATGCGTGTGTGGTGCGTGTGTTGTGTACATGTGGTGTGTGTGGTTTGTGTGTGGTGTGTACGTACGTGTGAATGTGTGTGGTGTGTGCGTGTGGTGTGTGCGTGTGCGTGTGTGTGTGGTGCGTTGCTCGTGTCCGTGGTGCGCGCGTGTGTGTGGTGCATGTCTTCGTCTTTGGTGCGTGTGGTGCGTGTGTGGTGCGCATGTGTGGTGCGTACGTGTGTGGTGTGTGTGTGTCCGTGGTGAGCGCGTGTGTGGTGCATGTCTTCGTCTTTGGAGCGTGTGTGCGAGCGTGGTGGTGACTTCATTGACGATTCTCTGAACCGGTCATGGGCCTCCCCCCTAGGTCGACTCGGCCTCAAATGAATACCCGGTGCAATGTGTAAAACATCACCACTGGGGAGACAAAGGCAGTTTGGCGTGGTGCTGGCCACCCACCCCCTCGCGTGCCGTGCTGGCCTTTCGTAGGCGCTCGCCAGTAGCCCTTGCTCCAACAGAGCCCGTTAAAGGCTATACGGGGGATCTTTGTCTTTGTGTGTATGAGACGCAGGCGATAGGTGGAGGTGTGTTGGGCGCGATTCGAGCTCTCGCTTGCGGAGCGGCGGTGCAGCGGTTAGCGCACTGCGCTTCAAAACCCAGCGGCCCCGAGTTCGAAACCCCGAGTTCGATTCCCGGCCATGACCAACGTCAGTCGCGGGCGATATCTTGACCCAATCGGGGCGGGGGCCCCTCAGCTCGGCTTTGTTGCGGTGTGCGTGAACACGGCATCGGTGTTGGTACACGCCACCACCTCGTACGCCGTGCCAGCTTTCATCGGTGCTCGCCGACAGCACTTGCCCCAGCGGTCTGCTAGAGGCTTATCTGGGGGCTGTCTTTGTCTTGGGTGCGTGCCGACGTAGGATCTGTCGTTCGAGCTGCTGCTGCCGGTGGAGGAGCAGAAGGTTCCAAGCAACACGCCGGTCGGTGAGTGAGTGGCACGGCACTGGGGACGGTGACGACCCGGCAATCGTCGCAATCACCACAGTTGTCACAACCATCACTGCGATGGCAATCATCGCAGTCATCGCCGTCACCAAAACTACGATCAGCACCATTATCCCGGTCAACACCGTGACCGTCACCACCGTTGCAACGTCACCGATTCTATAACCAGCATTCCCACCACGATCACCGTTATCACCCCCTACAGTGATCGCTACAATAATTTTCACCGCCACTAGCACCACAACCATCATCATCATCACAACTGTCGTCACCAGAGCCATCGGAGCCATCACCACTGCCATCATGTTACTTACCACCCATCGTCACTGCCTACTCTGTGATTGTTGTCATCATTATCGACATCACCGCTATCGCCACCATCATCACCGTCACACTCGTCATTATCGCCACCATCACCACTGGGTGATGGTGGCAGATCTTACCAAGAGGGGTTGGGGGGGGGGGGAGATCGGTCACGAAATTCCATCAGGTGTGGGGGGCGATCGCTCCCATGGCTGGATCGGCAGCCGTCGCTCGCCCTCGCTCGCCCTCACTCACCCTCGCTCGCTCGCCCCCAGCCGTGAGCCCCCGTGCTTCCCCACTGCCCGACGACGCCGCGGTGCTGCTGGAGTCGGAGTCGCCGCACGAGTCGCGTGCCGAGGAGGAGCTGAGCGGCACGGACTTCGTCTTCGAGACGGTCATCCGCTCGCTCACCCTCGAGGAGTCGCCCGAGCCACGGCCACAGCCCCGCAGGGATACGCGCCGCCACGGTGGGTGGGTCGGGGCGTCGGAGGGCGTGCGTGTGTGTGGTAGAGCGTGTCTGTGTGTGGGAGAGCGTGTGTGTGGGTGAGGGCATGTCAGCGTGTGTGGGTGAGCGTGTGTGTGGGAGCGTGTGAGTGAGAGCGTGCGTGTGGGAGAGCGTGTGTGTGGGAGAGGGCATGTCAGCGAGTGTGTGTGTGAGAGTGTGTGGGAGCGTGCGTGGGTGAGGGCATGTCAGTGTGTGTGTGGGAATGTGTGGGTGAGCGTGTGTGGGAGAGCATGCGTGTGGGTGTGTGTGAAAGTGTGTGGGAGCGTGCATGGGTGAGGGCATGTCAGCGAGTGTGTGGGACAGGGTGTGTGTGTGGGAGCGTACGTGTGGGTGAGTGTACGTGTGGGAGAGCGTGTGTGTGTGAGAGTGTGTGGGAGCGTGGGTGGGTGAGGGCATGTCAGTGAGTGTGTGGGAGAGCGTGTGTGTGTGTGTGTGGGGCTTAGTGCGTGATTGTTGGCACAGTAAAAAGCAGAATCGGAATGTTTATTTATCCTGGAGATATTTGATGAGCTCTGAAGCTCTGTTTCACAGATGATCGTTACGTCCCACTCTGGGTCTGTTCTGTCGCCTGCCAACACGAGCCATCCACGCTTTACGTGGCCTCAAGGTGCACCGATCCTGTGGTGAATGGCGGTTGTTGTGTTGGTGAGCGTGTGTTGGGTCAGTGCGAGTGTGTGAATGAGAGTGCGTGAGTACGTGTGAGCGAGTGGATAAGTCACTGTTTTGTCTGTGTGTTTATACAGATCTTAGATTTATGTGTGTGTATATCTTTCTGTATCTGTGTTATGAAGACATCACAGGCATGACATGTCTAGGTCGACTCATCCTTGAAATATTATCTGGTGTGGAGTCATCAGCACTGGGGAGACAAAGGCGGCCAGGCGTGGTGTGGGCCACACCGCCCCTTCGTTAGCCGCTCCGTGGCGGCCTTGAACAGCACTTGTCCCAAGAGCCTGTGAAAGGCTACACGGGCGGGGGGTGTATCTTTATCTTTGTCTCTGTGCGTGTACGCCGACCCATCAGGCTCCCCCCCCGCACCTCTCCTCCGCCCCACGCCAATCCCGGCCGCGACCAAAACCGCCGCCGCCGCCGACGACGACGATTGCTGGCACGACGCGCTGGCCGGCCCGCCGGGTGGCACCGCCCCACTGGTGGCGCGCGGCACTGGCGGCGGAGGTGGCCGCGAGCGGGAGGAGGAGGGGCGGGAGGACGGACAAGCGCGGGACGAGCACGAGGACGAGGAGGATGGCGGCGGCAGCCAGTCCTCGGACGACTTTGTGGTGGTGCTTCCCGAGTGCTTCGACACGAGCCGCCCTCTCTCGCTCGAGATGATCTCCTCCCCGGGCAGCTCCCACAATGCACCGCCAGAGGAAGAGGAGGAGGATGATGAAGAAGCGGAGGAGCGGCAGGAAGGTGGCCGGGGCTCTAGGCGGGGGGGGGCGGCTGCCGTGGTGGCGGAGGGAGGGTCGGAGGTCGCGGAGGAAGGCGGCGCGGCCACCGGCGGGGCGATGGCAGAGGCGCCGGCGCCGGCGGAGGGCACGGTGGACGAGATGCTGTGGGGGCCGCCCGCCGGCGGGGCGGTGCCGCTCACGCCGCTGGCGCTGCACGGCGGACCCGACGGGTGAGTCGAGCGTCCGGTGCGCGCCGCCGCCTCGACAATGGCCGCAGTCTGCCGTGAGTGGCTTCATCGGCTCGGCAACTCACAGCGGGGAGGGTTGGTGGGGCGGGCGGGGAGGGGGGGGAACCCCCGGTGGCAGCTGTCCCTGCGTGGCACAAGGTGCAGGCGCCGACCGACGTCGCGCGCGGTGAGCGCGTCGTTAGCTCCCGCCGCTGGCCCTGCTCGTCTCCGAACCAGACTTAGAGGTCCGTCTTGTCGCGAGGCCGGCGGAGCACCCGTTTGGTTCTGGTCGGTGTCGTCGGGGTCTCCTCTATCCCCGGCCATCTGTGCTGTCGACTCCCCGTCCCGGTTCAAGCCTAAGGAGGCCTCTGCCCGGCCCTCCCACCATGCATGCCACTCGAGGACTCTGCTTTGTGTGTGTTTAGTGGCATTGTCCTTCCCCCCCGCACCTCCGATTAGCGTGGCTACGTGCAGTGCGAAAGAAGTTCAACGTGCGTACTGCACGATACACTACACTATACACTACACTATACACTACACTATACACTACACACTACACTACACTACTATACACTACACTATACACTACAATCGGTGCGAAAGGAGTTCTACATACATACTGCACTATGCACTGTACACGACACTACGTACGAGCCTCACGGGACGGACGGCGCTTACGCACGGACACTCTCGCTCCTGCGCCGGGGAGTGGCGGTACGGAGGCAGAACGCGGCCGCGTTAACGTCCACGCCGCCCGCCCCCACCCTGTCCCACCCTGTCCCGCCCTGTCCCGCCCTGTCCCGCCCTGTCCCGCCCTGTCCCGCCCTGTCCCGCCCTGTCCCGCCCTGTCCCGCCCTGTCCCGCCCTGTCCCGCCCTGTCCCGCCCTGTCCCGCCCTGTCCCGCCCTGTCCCGCCCTGTCCCGCCCTGTCCCGCCCTGTCCCGCCCTGTCCCGCCCTGTCCCGCCCTGTCCCGCCCTGTCCCACCCTGTCCCGCCCTGTCCCGCCCTGTCCCGCCGCCGACAGCGCCCAGCTCTTTGAGGGCGACGGTGACGGCGCTTCGGGGCCACCCGGCGGGGAGCGGGCGGAGCCCCTGGGCGCCCCCCGCTACATCAACAGCGCCCTGACTCTCGCCTCCAGCGCCATCCGGGCCATGCTGAGGGTGCCCGCCGCACAGGTGAGGCTCGCCGCGTCGGCCGTGGGCCTGCCCACCGCTGCATGTTGGCGTCTCGAGAGAGCGAGAGAGAGAGCGCGAGAGAGAGAGCGTGAGGGAGAGCGCGAGAGAGAGAAAGTCGTCTCAATCTATATGCAGGCTGTCCCATGAGTCTGGAATCGTAGAAAAAACGCAGCTCTGTGTCATTGTCTCACGGTCTGGATGCAGTCTGTAAAGTTCAACAGCGACCTCCCTCTGCCTCCGATTTCCTCCTAAGTAGAATTATCCGACTCGTTCTTCCTTACTACAACAAAATATGAATTCGTTAATTTTATGGGCCACACTGTATATATACACACTGACCACGTTTCGGCAATAGCAACACTCTGTGTGTGTGTGTGGCTTTTAAGTTGTATAATAGGCGACGTTTCGGGAAATGACCCTTCTTCATAGCACGATATTGATTGTTGATGTGGCCGCGGTGTTGTTGACGTGGCGAGTTTGTACTGTGTGTGCTTTTGCACCACTGCTAGCGCAGTATCGCCAAGTAAATTGTTTGTACCGATGTGTGTTGAACTTCTTTCGCACCGTACGTAGCTAACCGGAGGTTCGGGTGAAGGACAACAAACACATAAAAGCACTTGTGTGTTGTATTATTATAAGTGTGTTGTAGTATCGTATTGTATGATACGTGTTATAGTATCATATGATGCGTGTGTAATGTAAGATTGGTAAAGGCGGTGGGAGGGCCTCGAACCGGTTCAGATATAACTGGGCCCTGCCTGGTGTTGGCGGTGGCCGGCGACTCGAGTCTAACCACTGCACCTTCTCCCCGTGTCTTCACGCGGTGTCCCCCTCTCTCCCCTCTGTCTCTCGCCATGTCTCACCTGCCTCCCCTGTCCCCCGTCTGCCCTCGCATCCCTGTATCCCGCCTGTCCCCCTCTCTCCCCATCTTGTCTCCCCATCTCCGTGTCCCATCTCGTCCTATCCCCGTCTCCCCATCTCTCCATCTCCCACCATATTCCTATTTCATTGCCTCCCACTCTCTGCCCCCCGTGTCTCCACGTTTCCTCCGACCCCTCTTTTTCCCTATCTCCCCCACGTCCCGTCTCCCCGTCTGTTCCCCCGCGTGTCCTCCATCTCCTCTCCGTTTCCGTCTCCCCCGTGTCGTCCGCGGCGGCCAGGGCGGCCAGGGCGGACAGGGTGGACAGGGCGTCCCCGTGGCGGTGACGCCAACTGCGATGAGGACGCTGCTGGAGATGGGGTTTGGCGACCGCACGCTCAACGCCCGCCTCCTGCAGGAGCACGCCGGCGACCTCAACGCCGTCGTGCCGGCGCTGCTCGCCGCCAACGACGACGGCTGGCACCGCGTGCGCCACTGAGCGCGGCGCAGACGCCCAGGTGCCAACGGCGGCGACGCTGTGACGGTAGTCGCGGCGACGACGTGACGGTAGCGACGACGACGGTAACGGTAGCCGTGACGACGCTGTGACGGTAGCCGTGACGACGGCGGTAGCCGTGATGCTGTGGCCGTAGCCGTGACCCCCCCCCCCTCTCCCCCCCACCAGATAGGCAAGCAGTGATCCTAGTGGTCGAGCACTGACACAACCGCATTGACACCGACGATAGTACTGACACTGTGAAAATAGCAGTATCCCCAATCAGCGAGTAGAGATCCTAGTGGTCTAGCACTCACACTGTTAGTGACACGGACAGCCTCGGAGTGACACGGATGGTCTCATAGTGACACTGACAGCCTAGGAGTGACACTGATGGTCTCATAGTAACACTGACAGCCTCGGAGTGACACTGATGGTCTCATAGTGACACTGACAGCCTAGGAGTGACACTGATGGTCTCATAGTGACACTGACAGCCTAGAAGTGATACTGATGGTCTCCTAGTGACACTGACAGCCTCGGAGTGACACTGATGGTCTCATAGTGACACTGACAGCCTCGGAGTGGCACTGATGGTCTCATAGTGACACTGACAGCCTAGGAGTGACACTGATGGTCTCCTAGTGACACTGACAGCCTCGGAGTGACACTGATGGTCTCATAGTGACACTGACAGCCTAGGAGTGACACTGATGGTCTAGCAGTGGCATCGGTTAAGACCTCGGCTTGGGTTGTGAGATCAAGGCCCCGTGTCCTAGTTGTATCAATATGCTGATCAGTGTGGGATTAAGACTCCCGTAATTACATAACATAACTCACCCTGGTGGGAATAAGACCAACTGATGTAGCAATTCAAACTCAAAACGATGGTGTCGGGGGGGGGGATCAATTCTCAGACTGGAGTGGACGCAAGGATAATTTAGATCCAGACGAGAGTGGGTTTCAGAGTCCCGATGTAGCTGTGGACCACGGTTGGGCAAAGCTTCAGGCCGCAAGACTCGACGGCAAATTTTAATTCCCAACGATAACACTTCTAAGTAGGCTTCTCGGCGTAGCGTTTCCAATCGCATGTCTGTACTCGGGTAGTGATTTTGTTTAGTTTTTGCGTAAGCCTGGTTAAGTCTTTCATTCTCATTGCTGCCCGTACGCCCGCCCGCCCGCCCGCCAACCCCCAGCGAAACATTAAACCGTCCCATTAACGGGCTTCATACTTGCTTAGCGGCCGATAGCGGGAGGCAGTGGGATATAATTTACAGCTGCCGACGGTCGTTGATGACCGGCCGCCCAGCTTAAAAAGAGATCTTTGTTCGATTTGATTCCTGAGATTCACAAACGTGGGTGGAAGTGACGCACGGCCAACCCTCGCCGGAGCTCTGTCAGAGGTGGAATTCCGGGTCCCCCGTCATGCCACAGTAACGTGGAATTTCCACCACCTGGTTTTCTAAAAGGGGGCGAAAGAGTCACGTGACAGTTGCTGTCGGCTTGGGCGCTTAGATACGCCGCCAGATGTCAAAATCGCAGATTGTGTGAGCGGGCGGGCGGGGCCGAGTGGTAATGCCGGGGCGTTTTCCCCAGACACGCGTGTGCACACACACACATGTACACACACAACAACAACCGCCATTCTCCACACACACACACACATGTACACACACAAGAACAACCGCCATTCGCCAGAGTGGCGGTGACGTCGCCACACACACATGTACACACACAACAACAACCGCCATTCGCCACTGAGTGACGTCGCCACACACACATGTCACACACACGTGTAAATGCACAGCAGATTCGTGTTACTATGGGGGGCGGCATGTGAGCAATCTCTGCCACTCTCATGGCTCCGTGTGGCAGCGCGACATTGCCAAGGGTGTAGGTGGCCGTGACATCTTGCTCAGCTGTGCCCTTCCGCCCCAGGTCCGTGCAATTATTCCATCTGTAATTGACGTGGCTGGACATGTCACATCAGTAGGGTGTCGGCTGATTTTTCTAAGGGGTTCCGGAGTTGCTACAATTGGTGGAATCGCCGTCAAAAATATTTGCATGCGCAGAGAGCCACGCGCACACACCGGCACTCTTACGTCAATTGCCATCCATTGCCCATCAATAATTCTATCTCGGCACCCAGATGGTTTGGGCTGTAGTGCAATGCCAGAGCCACACCAACAACATCGGTGAGTGATGTCACCACAACGCCGCCTGTGCCAGGCTCGGTGCCTTCTGAGGCCACGGAAAGAGTGGTGAAGGCTCACTGGGCCAGGAAAGTTATGGGATGGACTCCAAGGTGCTATGGCTTCACCGATTGGGCAACTGGCAAGATTGCACCACATGTGCTCCCCACTCAACCAAGAACACACACACACTTACACACACTCGCCACAAAATGAACACGAGCACCTGATATAGATTCATTGCAGGACCTTAGTTCATTAGTCACATATTGCATTTATGAATACCCATGTTTTGATTCTGCAAAGACGTTTGGAGGTTGAGACGTTTGTGAGCTGTGCTGACGCGAGAGAGAGAGAGGAGGCAGGAGGTAAGATGAGCCAAGGGGGGGGGGGGAGGAGGCTGTGTCCGCGACATCAACACGCACGGCTTCACGTGGTGGCGCTTCAGTGGTGTAAACCCGAAATAAAAATCGCACAGTTTAAAATTCACTCTGCGTGGCTTTGCTTGAATGTCGGGGGCGTTGTTCTGTCTGCCCACTAAACAGCGCTTGCTCCAACAGCTTGAAGGCGACACAGGAGGGGAGGCTCTTTGTCTTATGAAAAAAAATAGATCGACCCCTTGCGCGTGTCCACCGCCGGCTGACGCTCTCACCACGCTGGCCAGTGCCCCGTTGGTGAACTAATGCGGTTATCGGGTTTTCACATCGCTCACACGGAGTGTTTTCTAGTAATTAAATTACTTTATAATCCCGCCACCAATACCCCTGCCATTCGCGGTGCCTGTGCCAGGACACGTGCACGTTGAGGCCACGTGAAGTGTTGGATCACTGACAGGAGGTCACGGGACAGACCCAGGTGCCACGGGTTGACCGAAATGACTGGCAGATGCACCACCTGTGCCCCCCACTGTGCCAACTCGCTGTGGTTTAGCCGCCAGCGTTCTCTCTGCCCTCCGTTGTTGTTGAAAGGCAACTGCCTCCCAACTTACCAGTAGCCTCAAGGTGAACCTAGCCTGGCACCGCCCAGTAGCGTCCTGCACGAGCCTCCTCCACAGAAGCCAATCTTGACACCGCTGGTACCAGTCTTCGGCAAGTCCACTCGGCTCCACATCCTTCCGTACCGCATCAGTCCGTCTCTTCTCCACCACCGAAGGGGCAGTTCTCCGGGTACCGCTCCCACAGTCGCCGTCGTTGCCGTGGTCGCGTCGTCCCCGGTTAACGCCTGCACCGCCACCGCCGCGCGGTTACCGCTTCTTGCGGCCGCCCTTGGCCTTGCCGGCGGCGGCGGCGGCGGCAGCGCCATCGGTGACCCCGAGCGGGCCGAGGCGCCGCTTGAGCTCGAGGAGGGTGGCCACCTCGGCCTTGACGAGCGCCGCGTCCGCCTTGGCCGCCTTGAGCTCGCGAACGCGCAGGCCCTGCGGAGACATCAACGGCAATGGGCGAGGCGGCCCTTGTACGAGCGCTACCTGTGCTCATGCCCTCGTCGCACTGGGCACCCGCCTCAGAGAGGAAGAGCCATGGAGAAAATAGCGGCCTTTGACCTCAGACCCTTACACTCCCCCCCCCCGCCCTGACCCCCGTACCTGCTTGGCGACCTCCTCCGTGAGTTGTTGAATGTCTTCGGCGGTTGCCGTGGCAACAGCCGTGGCAGCGGTTGCCGAGGACGCGGTTGCCGAGGACGCGGTTGCCGTGACAGCGGTCACCGTGGCTGCCGCCGGTCCATTGGCAACCACGGAGGAGGAGGAGTCGTTCTGGCGAGAGCAAAACCGGCGATCGGTGAAGCGAGCGGCACAGAAGCCCGGTGTGGAGCAGGCTGTGGTGCAGGCTGTGGTGAGGTAGTGTGGAGCAGGCTGTGGTGCAGGCTGTGGTGCAGGCTGTGGTGCAGGCCGTGGTGCAGGCCGTGGTGCAGGCTGTGGTGAGGTCGTGTGGTGCAGGCTGTGGTGAGGTCGTGTGGTGAGGTCGTGTGGTGCAGGCTGTGGTGCAGTCTGTGGTGAGGTGTGGTGCAGGCTGTGGTGCAGGGTGTGGTGTAGGCTGTGGTGCAGGCCGTGGTGAGGTGTGGGTGCAGTCTGTGGTGCAGGCTGTGGTGCAGGCTGTGGTGAGGTCGTGTGGTGTGCGGGGCGCGCAAGCGACACGGTTAGTGCCCAGCGCTACGAACCCGGCGGCCCGAGTTCGATTCCCGCTCACGACGACCAACACCGTTGGCAATTATTTGTACCGGTCCCTAGACCTCCCATAGGTCGACTCGGCCTCAATTGAGTACCCGGTGCGGTGTGTAAACATCGCCGCTGGGGAGACAAAGGCGGCCGGGCGTGATGCTGGCTACGCACCCCCTCGTGTGCCGTGCCGGCTGTCGTAGAGGCTCACAAACGGCGCTTGCCCCACAAGTCTGTTCAGGCTACGCGGGGGACCTTTGTCTTGTTTGTTTAGGCGCGGTGCGAGGTGTCACCTGCTTGCCAGCGAATCTCTTCTTCAGCTCGTCCATGTGGGCCATCTCCAGCTTCTGGAACAGTGGGCTCACCTGGCCCGCCGCAAACACACCACCACAACCACGCCGTCACAGCCGCCCCTCACCACCACAAACACACCGGCACAATCACGCCGTCACAACCGCCCCTCACCACCACAAACACACCGGCACAATCACGCCGTCACAACCGCCCCTCACCACCACAAACACACCGGCACAATCACGCCGTCACAGCCGCCCCTCACCACCACAAACACACCACCACAACCACACCGTCACAGCCGCCCCTCACCACCACAAACACACCGGCACAATCACGCCGTCACAACCGCCCCTCACCACCACAAACACACCGGCACAATCACGCCGTCACAACCGCCCCTCACCACCACAAACACACCGGCACAATCACGCCGTCACAGCCGCCCCTCACCACCACAAACACACCACCACAACCACACCGTCACAGCCGCCCCTCACCACCACAAACACACCGGCACAATCACGCCGTCACAACCGCCCCTCACCACAACTCCCCCACCACAACCGCCCCTCACCACAACACTTCATCACCACTATTCACACCACAATACAGCGCATCACCGAAACCGCATCACCGAAACGTGCCGTGTGTATCGCCCGCTTCACAGCGGCAAATAAATTGAACCGGTCCTGGACCTCCCCTAGTTCGACTCAGCCTTAAAACGAGTTCCTCGTTGCGGTGTGCAAACATCAATAGCGGGGTGACAAAGGCGGCCGGGTGTGGTGTTGGCCACACCACTCCCGCGTGTGCCGTGTCCACCTTCAACGGTGCTACCCGCCAATAAAGTTTTCCCCAACAGTCTGCTACATACTATCGTGGAGATCTTTGTACCCGTGTGTGTGCAACCCGTGTGTGTGTGTGTATCCTGTATGTGTGCAACCCGTGTGTGTGTATCCTGTATGTGTGCAAGTCGTGTGTGTGTGTGTGTGTATCCTGTATGTGTGTGTGTGCACCTTGTATGTGTGTGCATGTATGTGTCCTGTATGTGTGTGTACCCCATGTGTACGTGTGTGCACCCTGTATGTGTGCGTGTCGTGTGTGTGTGTGCACCTGTGTGTGTGTGCACCTGTGTGTGCGCGCGCCCCGCGTGTGCGTGCGCATGTGCTGTGCCGACGCACGGGGTAGCCAACAGCTCCCACGGAACGGTGTGCAAACACCAGCGGAGGGGGAGACAAAGCCGGCCGGCCAGGCGAGGAGCCGACTGCACCTTCACATTGGCACTCCGCTCGCTCACGCCCCGTGTCCACGCACGTACCGTGCCCACGGCATGGCCCGCCGGGAGGGCGCACGCGAAGCCGTCGGTCAGCACGTCGCGGTCGGGCGGCGCCAGCAGCTGCTCGCGGATGGCGCCCGCCACCGTCGGCATGAAGGGGCCGAGCATCACCGAGAGCAGCGCCGCCACGTTCACCGCCACGGCCGTCACCGTGGCGGCGCGCGACCTGGCACGCGGCGGGAGGGGGCACACAACGGGGGTTTATGTCATGTGGCAAAGTGTGAATATGTTATACAGTTATTGAAAATCAAAGAGGGCATGAAAGCCAAATATAAACCAAAAAAAATAAGGGAAGGGAGGGGCGGGAGGGAGGGAGAACGACGACAACAAAATTAACAAGCGGAGAACTCGGAGGAAGAGGAACCCCACGATCGTCGGCATGCTACTGCTGTTGCTGCTACTGCTGTTGTTGCTGCTACTGCTACTACTGCTGTTGTTGCTACTACTGCTGTTGTTGCTGCTACTGCTGTTGTTGCTGCTGCTGCTGTTGTTGCTGCTGCTGCTGTTGTTGCTGCTGCTGCTGCTACTGTTGCTGCTACTGCTGTTGCTGCTACTGCTGTTGTTGCTGCTACTGCTACTACTGCTGTTGTTGCTACTACTGCTGTTGTTGCTACTACTGCTGTTGTTGCTGCTGCTGCTACTGTTGCTGCTACTGCTGTTGTTGCTGCTACTGCTGTTGTTGTTGCTGCTGCTGCTACTGTTGCTGCTACTGCTGTTGTTGCTGCTACTGCTGTTGTTGTTGCTGCTGCTGCTGTTGTTGTTGTTGCTGCTACTGCTGTTGTTGCTGCTACTGCTGTTGTTGCTGCTGCTGTTGTTGCTGCTGCTGCTACTGCTGTTGCTGCTACTGCTGTTGTTGCTGCTGCTGCTACTGCTGTTGTTGTTGCTGCTACTGCTGTTGTTGCTGCTACTACTGCTGTTGCTGCTACTGCTGTTGCTGCTGTTGCTGTTGCTGCTGCTGCTACTGTTGTTGCTGCTGCTGCTGCTACTGCTGTTGTTGTTGCTGCTACTGCTGTTGCTGCTACTGCTGTTGTTGCTGTTGCTGCTGCTGCTACTGCTGTTGTTGTTGTTGTTGCTGCTACTGCTGTTGCTGCTACTGCTGTTGCTGCTGCTACTGCTGTTGCTGCTACTGCTGTTGTTGTTGCTGCTACTGCTGTTGTTGCTGTTGCTGCTGCTGCTACTGCTGTTGTTGTTGCTGCTACTGCTGTTGTTGCTGCTGCTGTTGCTGCTGTTGCTGCTGCTGTTGTTGCTGCTGCTGCTGTTGCTGTTGTTGTTGCTGCTGCTACTGCTGCTGTTGCTGCTGCTGCTGCTGTTGTTGCTGCTGCTGCTGTTGCTGTTGTTGCTGCTACTGCTACTGCTGTTGCTGCTGTTGCTGCTGTTGCTGTTGTTGTTGCTGCTGCTACTGCTGTTGCTGCTGTTGCTGCTGCTACTGCTGTTGTTGTTGCTGCTGCTGCTGTTGTTGTTGCTGCTACTGCTGTTGTTGTTGCTGCTGCTACTGCTGTTGCTGCTGTTGCTGCTGCTACTGCTGTTGTTGTTGCTGCTGCTGCTGTTGTTGTTGCTGCTACTGCTGTTGTTGTTGCTGCTGCTACTGCTGTTGCTGCTGTTGCTGCTGCTGTTGCTGTTGTTGTTGCTGCGACTACGACTGCTGCTGCTGCTTCCTCGGGGTGCCGACGTGGAAAGGAAGAAGCCCCGCTTCCAATCCCTGACGAGGACAGGGCCCGTACGACTCGAGAGCAGAGAGGCAATGGAATAGAGAACTCCATAGAGTACATAGAGTAGTGCTCGACAGAATCACTCTTCTTCACAGCACATGATGAAGGACCATTACCCGAAACGTCAAGAACAACCATAAATCGCGGTGGCGTCACCACGGCACTTGTGCCAGGCTAGGTGCACTTTGAGGCCACGTGAAGTGTCGAAGACGTGTTGACAGGAGGTCACGAGACTGACCCAGCGGTTGCCATGGGTTGGCTAACTGAGATGACTGGCAGATGCACACCAGCTGTACCCCCTACTGTGCCAACTCGCTGTGTTTTATCTGCCCGGCGCTCCGCTCGTTGTTGTGAGCGTCGCTCCTCCGCCCTCCGTTGTTGCTGGAGGGCGACTGCCTCCAACTGCCCAGTAGCAGCGTCCTTCACGAGCCTCCTCCACAGAGGCCGATCTTGACACCATTGGTACCAGTCATAGGCAAGTCCACTCAGCTCCACGTCCTCCTGTACCACATCACTCCATCTCTTCTCTAGCCCAAAACGTCACACGCACGTGCACACACTCGTACACACACGCACACACTCGTACACACACACGCGCACACACTCGTACACACGCACGCGCACACACTCGTACACACGCACGCGCACACACTCGTACACACACGCACACACTCGTACACACACGCACACACTCGTACACGCACGCACACACTCGTACACGCACGCACACACGTACACGCAAACACACGCACACACGTACACGTACACGCACGCACACACTCGTACCTCTCGCTCTCAGAGCCCTTGACGCGTTTCCACGGCTCGTGCAGCTGGATGTACTGGTTGCCATGGCGCGAGATGTTGAATATGCAGCGCAGGGCGTCCCGTATCCTGCACGCACAGAGACAAAGGTCCCCCGTGTAGCCCGCAAAGGCTGTTGAGGCAAGTGCTGCGAGTGAGCACTACCTATGAAAGTTGGCACAGGAGGGGTGGGTGATCTGCACCACGCTCGGCTGCATTTAAGACAAAGGTCCCCCGTGTAGCCGATAACAGGCTGCTGCGGCAAGCGCTGCGAGTGAGCGGCACTTGTAAAGGCTGGCGCGGCGCACGAGGGGGTGGGTGGCCAGCACCACGCCCAGCCACCTTTGTCTCCCCAGTGGCGATGTTTACACATCACACCAGGTACTCTTTTGAGGCTGAGTCGACCAAGGGGAGGCCCAGGACCGGTTCAGATCATCATCACTGGGTGTTGGCCGTGAGCGGGAATCGAACTCGGGCTGCCGGGTTCGAAGCGCAGCGTAGCGCTACCCGCTACACTACCGCTCTCCACACACAGAAACACACACACACAGATGCAACAAAAACAGCCGCCATTCACCGCTAAATGGTGGTGACGTCACCACGGTGCCTGTAAGGTCGGGTGCACTTTGAGGCACACAAAGACACACAGACACACGCACAGACACACACGCACAGACACACACACACGCGCAGACACACAAACGCGCAGACACACACACGCGCAGACATGCAAAGACACAGACACACGCACAGACACACACGTGCGCAGACACGCAAACACAAAGACACACAGACACACGCACAGACACACACACGCGCAGACACACAAACGCACAGACACACACACTTGCGCAGACACGCAAAGACAAAAAAACACGCACAGACACACACACACACACAAGCAGACACGCAAAGGCAAAGAGACACAGACACACGCACAGACACACAAAGACACAGACACACGCGCAGACACACACGCGCTCACCGGACTTTGTCGAGGAGGCGCGTGTACGCCTGCAGCTCGCGCGTCACCAGCGCCAAGAGGTGCGCGTCGTCCGCCGTCAGCTCCATCGGCGGCACTCGCCCCTCGAAGAACTTCACCACGAACACGCCGGCGCTGCGCACGGCACGGGCGACGCACGCACGCAGCGGGACAGCAGGAGGGAGGGGGCGCAAGGGGGTGGGGGTGGGCCAGGTCACATGTCAGAGACGCCGAGCCACGTACCTCGAGCTAGCGAGTAGGTGGTCTCGGCCCAGGCCGCAGATGACCGCGGCGCGTTCAAATTGGGTTCTCCGCACCGCTCCTCATTTAGCTCAACTCCCGCGATCGTTTACCCCGCGATGAGCGTCACTCTCAGCGGCAAGGAAGGTGGGCAAAGTGCACCGACTGTGCGGAACGGAGGTCTCTTGAAAGGGACCTCGCAGGTAGTTCTACGATACATGCTTCCGTGGGGCGTACTAATTAACTCACCCACTCAGAATCAGAGTATTTATTTATGCTGGAGGAAATCCGATTAGTTATAAAGCTCTTTTTCACAGATGTCCACTGGCTCATGCACTCGCCCACGCACCCAGCCAGCTGGCTGACCCACACCACCAACTCACCCACTCACCAACTCGCTCACTCACCCACTCACCAACTCGCTCACTCACCCACTCACCAACTTACCGACTCACTCACCCACTCACTCCTTCCCACGTGCCTCCATGTCTGCTCACCCATCGCTCACCACCTCGTTCGACTACTCGCCTGCTCGCCCACTCAGCCACTCACTCACCCTCTCACCCACTCACCCATCCAAAGCCTTAACAGGCTGTAGGGGCAAGTGCTGTTAGCGAGCACCTATGAAGGCCGGCACGGCACACGAAGGGGTGGGTGGCCAGAACCACGCCCGCACACACGTGTACACATACATACACACACACACCGATACACACACACAGGCAGATACACACACACTCACACAGACAGGAGTACACGCGTACCTGCACACATACTCCCATCAACAGCGTCGTCAGCCATGGTCGATCCACTGCTGGATGAACAGCTCCCTTCGCCGCCGCCACCTCGGGCCAATCGAATTCGTAGCGCACTTAGACTCAACTGTTTTCATTTTACCAGGTAAGGCCCACTGGGCTACATAGTTATTTTTCAAAAGCAAATAGGCCACAAATGATAGCTCAACGAAGTGCGTTGTCATCATTGTGTGGAAATTTATAGCGGCAGCCAAACACTCTAAACGCGTGATGTTGATTCTAAATGTAAAGGGGAAAAAAACGAAGGACCCGGAGAAAAATCCACGCAACCACGGGGAGAAAGAGAGACACGCAAACTCCAAATATACAGGTGGCAGGGTCGGTAGCGAACCCACGACCTCCTGTATACCAGGCGAGGTAGTTAACATATCCTCGCCACCGTGATGATGATGATGAGAGAGAGACACGCAAACTCCAAATACACAGCAGCAGCAGGCGTCAGGGGTCGGGATCAAACCCACAACCTCCTGCGTACCAGGCGAGCTAGCCAACATCCCGCCATTGCCGCACTCCCGCACCCCCGCCCGGCGGGCCGCACCGGTTCACGAAGTTGCCCAGGTTGTTGAGCAGCTCGGCGTTGTGTGTAAGCAGGAAGTCGGCCCAGCTGAAGGTGCTGTCCTGGCTCTCGGGACGCAGGTGCAGCAGGTAGAAGCGCCACGCGTCCGCCGGGATGCCCGTGTCGCGCGCCTGGTCGCCAAACACGCCGACGCCGCGGCTCTTGGAGAACTTGCCGTCCTCGTAGTTCAGGTACTCTGCGGCAGGGCGGCGCGCAAAGACAAAGGTCCCCCGCGTAGCCTCAACAGACCGTCGGGGCCAAGTGCTGTCAGGGAGTGTGGCGCACGAGTGGGTGGCCAGCACCACGCCCGGCCGCCTTTAGCTCCCCGGTGGCGATGTTTACTACACACCGCACCAGGTGCTCGTTTTGAGGCCGAGTGAACCTAGGGGAGGCCCAGGACCGGTTCAGACAATCGTTACTGGCGGCGGTGTTTGTAGCACGGCGTAGCGCTGACCGCTACAAACATCCCCCCCCCATGTAGCCTCAACAGACTGTTGGGCCAAGTGCTGTTAGCGAGTAGCACCGATGGAGTAACTGCGACACGCACACACACACACACCCAGCGGGGCGTGATCAGTGATCTCACGGGGCCTAGGGTCTCGCGGCGTCACCTTGCCGAACCACAATCCTGCCGATCGCGTCAAAGAGCACAAACCACCATCACCGCAAACTCCGGCCACGCTCAGAGCGGTTTCTGGCTAACCATCAAACAAAGACGGCCACTGCATCTTGTGCTTGCAGAAGCGCTTGTGCGACCATCTGGAAAGCTCCTCCCGATATTGGAAAGCCACCAGGAGCTGTACGGTCCTTCCCCCACACAGACTAGCAGGGTTGGCTACACACGGAACGAAACAAGTTCAACGTACATACATACTGCACTGTGCACTACACATACTGCACTGTGCACTACACATACTGCACTACACATACTGCACTGTGCACTACACATACTACTCTATACAACACGTAAGGTGTGAAAGAAGTTCAACATACATACGTTAAACTAAACCATCTATTCTCTTTGTGTCTTTCGGCAAAGTCACGTAGATTATCTGAGTGACTGTTGGGCCAAGTGACTTTGCCGAAAAACCCAAAGAGTGTGAATTCCTGCAGTCACGAAAGCTTCAAGTCGAGAGTTAAACTATTTATTAGTTAAGCAGTTGAGGCCTCCCTGAGCTGCTGTGTGTAGCGCTTCTCCAGAAGCGACGTGCCCGTCACAAACGCCGGCTCGACGAAGCGGCGGGCCGTACCCATCGCGTGCAACAAGTTTACAGCGGCGGCCAAACTCTGTCAACGCACGACGGCCAAACTCCGTCAACGCACGACGGCCAAACTCTGTCAACGCACGACGGCCAAACTCCGTCAACGCACGACGGCCAAACTCCGTCAACGCACGATGGCCAAACTCCGTCAACGCACGACGGCCAAACTCTGTCAACGCACGACGGCCAAACTCCGTCAACGCACGACGGCCAAACTCCGTCAACGCACGACGGCCAAACTCCGTCAACGCACGACGGCCAAACTCCGTCAACGCACGACGGCCAAACTCCGTCAACGCACGATGGCCAAACTCCGTCAACGCACGACGGCCAAACTCTGTCAACGCACGACGGCCAAACTCCGTCAACGCACGATGGCCAAACTCCGTCAACGCACGACGGCCAAACTCCGTCAACGCACGACGGCCAAACTCCGTCAACGCACGACGGCCAAACTCCGTCAACGCACGACCACCAAACTCTGTCAACGCACGACGGCCAAACTCCGTCAACGCACGATGGCCAAACTCTGTCAACGCACGACGGCCAAACTCCGTCAACGCACGACGGCCAAACTCCGTCAACGCACGACGGCCAAACTCCGTCAACGCACGGCGGCCAAACTCTGTCAACGCACGGCGGCCAAACTCAGTCAACGCACGACGGCCAAACTCCGTCAACGCACGGCGGCCAAACTCTGTCAACGCACGGCGGCCAAACTCTGTCAACGCACGACGGCCAAACTCCGTCAACGCACGGCGGCCAAACTCTGTCAACGCACGGCGGCCAAACTCTGTCAACGCACGACGGCCAAACTCCATCAACGCACGGCGGCCAAACTCCGTCAACGCACGGCGGCCAAACTCTGTCAACGCACGGCGGCCAAACTCTGTCAACGCACGACGGCCAAACTCCATCAACGCACGGCGGCCAAACTCTGTCAACGCACGACGGCCAAACTCCGTCAACGCACGATGGCCAAACTCCGTCAACGCACGACGGCGATCCTCGACATGGACGCGGAAAACCGGAGGACGCGGAGAAAAATCCACGCGGCCACGGCAGCCAGGGACGCAGTTCCGGCTCTCCGATTGAAAAGGGCGGTAGGCAGAGGTCGCAAACGGGTTTTGATTCCGTACCCGTACCCGTACCCGGCCGCACCAGGGTCGCAAATGGGTACCCGTACCCGTACCCGGCCGTACCCGTACCCTACCCGTACCCAGCTGGGTACGGGTATCGGGTACCACCTCTGGGATGAAGCCATGTTGCAGGCGCGGGTGGGTTGATTCTAGGAACTTGTGAGAAGAGACAAGACGTTGGGATATGAGTGACAAACGGTGACTCACCAGTGACTCACGGCCTACCCGTACCCGTACCCGGCCGGCACCAGGGTCGCAAACGGGTACCCGTACTCGACTGGGTACAGGTAGCTGGGTATCCGGTAGGGTACGGGTAGCCGTTCCCTACCCGTACCCTACCCGAAATGAGTGACAAACGGTTACTCACCAGTGACTCACGGCCTACCCGTACCCGGCCGGGTAGCCGGGTATCGGGTAGGGTACGGGTATCGGGTACCCGGTTGCGACCTCTGACGTGGAGTGATTTCCGTGTGGCCACGCCCACTCTGAGCCCCTCCCCTCTGAGGGGAGCGGGGAAGGATGGCGGTGACGAAGAGTGGGGGGGGGAGGGGGGGGGCGGGGGGCAGGGGGCGGGGGGTGGGGGGGGTTACCGGTGGCGATGAGCGAGTTGACGAGCGTGAAGTTCTGGTCGGCAGCGATCAGCGAGCAGGGGAAGACGACGCTGTGGAAGGGGACGTTGTCCTTGGCCATGAAGTTGTAGAGCGTCACCTGCAAGGCGGCCGAGGGGGGGAGCGGTGACACCGCAGCGGATGTCAACTCCCTCGCCCCGTGTGCAGGAGGTCGTGGGTTCAATACCGACCACTGACCACTGCACTATGGGAACCTCATTTGCCAGTAAAAATATGCTAATTGGTTTTTTTACCCTTCTATCTGGCAACAAAACTGACACCTTTTTTTTACAAGGAGTCATGTTTGCATAGACCACAATACCTGCAGTCATAATACAAACAAAAGACACAACTCTGATGATGTATGCACTGTCCTTGAAGTTGATTGGTCCACACCCGAGACAGCTTTCCTTAGAGCCTAGTCTCACATGGGTTGGACCAGATGTTGGACCAGATGTATTATGGCTGCAGGTATTGCGGTCTATGCAAACATGACTCCTTGTAAAAAGGTGTCAGTTTTGTTGCCAGATAGAAGGGTAAAAAACAATTATCACTGACCACTGACTGTATTTTGCGCGTCTCTCTCTCCGCCGTGGTCGTGAGAATCTTTCCCCGGGTCCTCCGGTCCTCGCTACCACGTCCTGCCACCCCCCCTACCCCCCCACCACATGACCCCCCCACCACCCGCCCCCCCCCCCACGCCTCGCTCACCTCGTCGGGGTTTTTCCACCAGCGCTCCCAGTGCGGTGTGTAGTTGGCCGTGATGGAGAGGTATCCGATGGGCGCGTCAAACCACACGTAGAACACCTGCAGCGCGGCCGGCGGCAAGATGGGTACAGCCCGTGGTGGCGCGGTGTGCGGGGGGTGGGCGGTTAGGAGGTACGGGGAAGGGGGGGGGTAGGGGAACCGATGGACAGGTGTAGGTTCGTCATAAAAATACTAAAAAATACTTCATTACGAATAAAACTTGTCTTTGTGTTACAGAGACAAGTGTAGGGTTAGAGGGTTAGAGGTCGTGTTAAGACGAGCGCTAGGAACATGACCGAGTCAGGGGGGTAAAGTTGTGGGATATCGATGAGATTTGGGGATAGAGGCCGGGGGAGGATTTAGTTCTGTGGCCGGGGTAGCAAGAGAGGGGGGTGGGGGGGGGGGGTCAGGTGGAGGGTACACTAGCGGGTGGCCACCCCCCCCCCCACGCGCAACCCACCCCCCCCACCCACAACCCACCCCCCCCCATGCGCAACCCACCCCCCCCCCCCACGCGCAACCCACCCCCCCCACGCACCCCCCATCCACAACCCACCCCCCCCACGCGCAACTCACCGCCCCCACCCGCAACCCACCCCACCCCCCCGACGCGCAACCCACCCCCCCCACGCGCAACCCACCCCCCCCCACCCGCAACCCACCCCCCCCACCCGCAACCCACCCCCCCCACCCGCAACCCACCCCCCCCACGCACCCCCCATCCACAACCCACCCCCCCCACGCGCAACTCACCGCCCCCACCCGCAACCCACCCCACCCCCCCGACGCGCAACCCACCCCCCCCACGCGCAACCCACCCCCCCCACCCGCAACCCACCCCCCCCACCCGCAACCCACCCCCCCCACCCGCAACCCACCCCCCCCACCCGCAACCCACCCCCCCCACCCGCAACCCACCCCCCCCACCCGCAACCCACCCCCCCCACCCGCAACCCACCCCCCCCACCCACAACCCCCCCCACCCACAACCCACCCCCCCACGCGCAACCCACCGCCCCCACCCGCAACCCACCCCCCCACGCGCAACCCACCGCCCCTACCCGCAACCCACCCCCCCACCCACAACCCCCCCCACCCACAACCCACCCCCCCACGCGCAACCCACCGCCCCCACCCGCAACCCACCCCCCCACGCGCAACCCACCGCCCCCACCCGCAACCCACCCCCCCCCACGCGCAACCCACCCCCCGCGCAACCCCCACGCGCAAACCCCCCCCCCCCCCACCTTGTCAGTGAAGCCCTGCAGGGGCACCGGCGTGCCCCACTTGAGGTCGCGGGTGATGCAGCGCGGCTTGAGGCCATCGCGCACCCACGAGCGCGTGATGAGCCGCGCGTTCGCCGTCCAGTCCCCGCCCGCCCACGACGCCTCCAGCCACGACTGCAGCGGAGACTCCAGCTGCCAGGGGGGGGGGGGAGGGGGGGGGGGGAGACGCAGACCGCCCACGGTGACGCGGGACTCGTCGTGGTCTGGACGGCAAGAGGACGCAGAGTAAAGCTCAGGGATGATACTGATGGTTTTGTCGGTGAAGTCACGTAGGTAGAAACTGAATTGAATGACGACGTTTCGGGCGCAACGCAAGCGTCCTTCTTCAGGTGGGGACAACGTCGCGAGAGCACAACCGCTTAAGTGGTGCGCCCAAAACGTCGTTATTTAATTTATTGAAAAAATTTTTACCTACGTGACTTTACCAAAAAAAACAAAGAGTATGAATCATTGCAGTCACGAAAACTTCACATCTAGAACTCAGGGATGATACTGATGGGAGGGGAGAGCGGGGGGAGCGAGAAGGGGAGGGAGGGAGGGGGGGTGATGAGGGGGAGGGGGGGAGGGAGGGGGGAGGGGGGAGGGAGGGAGGGGGGAGGGAGGGGGGAGGGGGGGAGGGAGGGGGGAGGGAGGGGGGAGGGGTCACCTTGGGGAGGTTGAGGAAGAGGTGCTCGGATGACTGCACCACCGGCGTGTCCCTGCAGATCTTGCACTGCGGGTTCTGGCGGACCGAGGGGAGACCGCCGTTACGCGCGGGGTCAGGCACTCACTCACTCACACTCACTCGCTCGCACTCACTCACTCACTCGCTCGCACTCACTCACTCGCACTCACTCACTCACTCGCTCGCACTCACTCACTCGCTCGCACTCACTCGCTCGCTCGCACTCACTCACTCACTCGCACTCACTCACTCACTCGCTCGCACTCACTCACTCGCACTCACTCACTCACTCACTCGCTCGCACTCACTCAATCGCACGCCCCCCCACCCCGCACGCCCCCACCCCCCACGCCCCACCCCACCCCCCACGCCCCACCCCCCAGGCCCCCCCCCACGCACCTTGAGCTCGACGGCGTTGATGAGTCGCCCACACTTGTCGCACTGGTCCCCACGCGCGTCCCCGTAGCCGCACAGGGGGCAGGTGCCCTCGACGAAGCGGTCGGCCAGGAAGCGGGCGCAGCGCTCGCAGCGCAGCTGCTCCACCGTGTCGGTGAGCAGGAAGCCGCGCTCACGCACGCGCCAGAAGATGTCCTGTGCGATCCTGCAGCAAGGGGGGGGGGGGTGGAGCGGGGGGGATGGGGGGGGAGGGGCGGGGTGGGGGGAGGGGTGGGGGGAGGGAGGGAGGGAATATTGGAGTGGGAGGTGCAGAGAGGGGGGCGATGAGCAGTTGGGGTCTAACAGAGTGTGTAGCAGGCGTCGCAGGCCGCGTGTAAGCGTGCAGGGGGAGAGGGGGCTGAAGAGTGAAACGCATCGGAGGTGAGGGACAGAATGAAGGAGAGTCGGGTGTGAGAGGTGCTAGGAGGCAAGGGAAGAGGTGTAAGTTGCTACGAGGCGTGAGGAGTTGCTACGAGGCGTTGCCACGAGGAGTTGCTACGAGGAGTTGCCACGAGGAGTTGCTACGAGGAGTCGCTACGAGGCGTTGCTACGAGGCGTTGCCACGAGGAGTTGCTACGAGGAGTTGCCACGAGGAGTTGCTACGAGGCGTTGCCACGAGGCGTTGCTACGAGGAGTTGCTACGAGGAGTTGCTACGAGGAGTCGCTACGAGGCGTCGCTACGAGGCGTTGCTACGAGGAGTTGCTACGAGGAGTTGCTACGAGGAGTCGCTACGAGGCGTTGCTACGAGGCGTTGCTACGAGGAGTTGCTACGAGGAGTTGCTACGAGGAGTTGCTACGAGGCGTTGCTACGAGGCGTTGCTACGAGGAGTTGCTACGAGGAGTTGCTACGAGGAGTTGCTACGAGGCGTTGCTACGAGGCGTTGCTACGAGGAGTTGCTACGAGGCGTTGCTACGAGGCGTTGCTACGAGGCGCGGGGAGTTGCTACGAGGAGTTGGCACGAGGCGTTGCTACGAGGCGTTGCTACGAGGAGTTGCTACGAGGCGTTGCTACGAGGCGTTGCTACGAGGCGCGGGGAGTTGCTACGAGGAGTTGCTACGAGGAGTTGCTACGAGGCGTTGCTACGAGGCGTTGCCACGAGGCGTTGCTACGAGGCGTTGCTACGAGGAGTTGCTACGAGGCGTTGCCACGAGGCGTTGCTACGAGGCGCGGGGAGTTGCTACGAGGAGTTGGCACGAGGCGTTGCTACGAGGCGTTGCTACGAGGCGTTGCTACGAGGCGTTGCTACGAGGCGTTGCTACGAGGAGTTGCTACGAGGAGTTGCTACGAGGCGTTGCTACGAGGCGTTGCTACGAGGCGTTGCTACGAGGCGTTGCTACGAGGCGTTGCTACGAGGAGTTGCTACGAGGAGTTGCTACGAGGCGTTGCTACGAGGAGTTGCTACGAGGAGTTGCTACGAGGCGTTGCTACGAGGCGTTGCTACGAGGCGTTGCTACGAGGCGTTGCTACGAGGCGTTGCTACGAGGAGTTGCTACGAGGAGTTGCTACGAGGAGTTGCTACGAGGAGTTGCTACGAGGCGTTGCTACGAGGAGTTGCTACGAGGCGTTGCTACGAGGCGTTGCTACGAGGCGTTGCTACGAGGCGTTGCTACGAGGCGTGAGGAGTTGCTACGAGGAGTTGCTACGAGGCGTTGCTACGAGGCGTTGCTACGAGGAGTCGCTACGAGGAGTCGCTACGAGGAGTCGCTACGAGGCGTTGCTACGAGGCGTTGCTACGAGGAGTTGCTACGAGGCGTTGCTACGAGGAGTTGCTACGAGGCGTTGCTACGAGGAGTCGCTACGAGGCGTCGCTACGAGGCGTTGCTACGAGACGTTGCTACGAGGCGTGAGGAGTTGCTACGAGGAGTTGCTACGAGGAGTTGCTACGAGGCGTTGCTACGAGGAGTTGCTACGAGGCGTTGCTACGAGGAGTTGCTACGAGGCGTTGCTACGAGGAGTTGCTACGAGACGTTGCTACGAGGCGTTGCTACGAGGCGTGAGGCGTTGCTACGAGGAGTTGCTACGAGGCGTTGCTACGAGGAGTTGCTACGAGGCGTTGCTACGAGGCGTTGCTACGAGGAGTTGCTACGAGGCGTTGCTACGAGGAGTTGCTACGAGGCGTTGCTACGAGGAGTTGCTACGAGGAGTTGCTACGAGGCGTTGCTACGAGGCGTTGCTACGAGGCGTTGCTACGAGGCGTTGCTACGAGGAGTTGCTACGAGGCGTTGCTACGAGGCGTTGCTACGAGGCGTGAGGAGTTGCTACGAGGCGTTGCTACGAGGCGTTGCTACGAGGAGTTGCTACGAGGCGTTGCTACGAGGCGTTGCTACGAGGCGTGAGGAGTTGCTACGAGGCGTTGCTACGAGGAGTTGCTACGAGGCGTTGTTACGAGGAGTTGCTACGAGGCGTGAGGAGTTGCTACGAGGCGTTGCTACGAGGAGTTGCTACGAGGCGTTGCTACGAGGAGTTGCTACGAGGCGTTGCTACGAGGCGTGAGGAGTTGCTACGAGGCGTTGCTACGAGGCGTTGCTACGAGGAGTTGCTACGAGGAGTTGCTACGAGGCGTTGCTACGAGGCGTGAGGAGTTGCTACGAGGCGTTGCTACGAGGCGTTGCTACGAGGAGTTGCTACGAGGCGTTGCTACGAGGAGTTTGCCTACGAGGCCGTTGCTACGAGGAGTTGCTACGAGGAGTTGCTACGAGGCGTTGCT